AAAGACCACAAACGTGACATTGGCGGAATTGTGTAAATGCAAATAGACCATGAATTAAAAAAGAAGAAGAAGTCGATTTTTATGTAACTATTGGCTGTGCTATTGATATATGAATATTGTAATTATAAATCGGTATATCAATTGAAAAGAAAAAAGTATCAAAGTGTCCGTTAATGAGATATAATAATAATAATATACTTTATTGCACACAACAGACACAAGTTACTGAGAATAAAAAATGGACGAAATATACAAAAGGCGGCCTTTATCCTTTCAATGTCCTGACATGTTATATAGTTCTTGTTTTCTTATTTTACATTATTTTTCGTTCAAACCAATTAAAAGTTAGGGATTTTTGGTATACGCGTCCGGTATCTTGTACCATAAGTAAATCACCACCCGTCTTTTTATAGTTCTATGCTCAAAGGGTAAACACGTGACCCTATCATTAAGAAAGATTGCGCTGTCCATATATCTGTCACAAGGCATTATCTAATGAACAAGTTCATATAGTTTATTTAAATTAGGTACACTTATAAGAAGATTACTAAATAACACCTATTTATAGCAAACGTAAACCCGACTTATCGCAGTTATGCAATGATCTTATAAAATCCACATTCCGTCGAGAGTTGTTGCTTTTCTTAATGGATACGAAGCCGCGTCATATTGTTTTTAACATTGGCGTGCAAGGCAGGCTATTGAACCTTATTGAAACAGTTTATACTTGAATAGAATTACATTTTTTTTTTCTAACACTTCTCTACTTACCGATACGCTCATTAAAACCACTAAATAGGTATGGTTAACAAGAATAGTTCCGTTGGTATGTCTGACTGAAAAGGTGCCGAATGGATTTTAATGGGATTTTCAGAAATAGAGTGATTCATGAGTCATTTGAGTAACATCAATGAAGTTCACTAAATCATCAGAAAATATAATTCTCACTCATCTCTAGCTGCATTATTTGTACAAACTAGTGTTAACTTCTATTCCAACAGTGACAACCTAGTCAAAAGCATTTGTGAATTCAATTCCTAAGAAACACAAGGAAATGACAGAGGCGGAAAGTGACTTCAAAATATAATATAAAGATTTGTCATTTTATAACCCATTTCTTCCACTCATCATCAACACGTAAATCGTCACTCTCTCGCGTTTAGTTTTATTGTCAACATAAAAATATAGTTCATGGCAATAGTGACATGTCATTGACTTCATATTTTTGCGAGTATTTTCATACCACGAGTTAGTTATATGAATTCGATTAGAAATATGTAAAATGTTTTTTATAATGAAATAATAAAGATTTATCCCTTTTTTCAGTTGGCAATATCACAGATATACTACCAATAGTCTTACTGCTAGTTGCACTAACGTCTATTAAAGTTTTTAATTTACCTATACAAATTACCAAATTTAGTACATTCATTAGAGCTTAAAGTCGTCATTAAACCTTAATATTATAATAGATATTTCTGTGATTATAAATAAGGAATCAATTGATTATAATGGGATATAATCATTCGTAGAATAACAGCCTATTTCTAAAACCATCATCGGTATCTGGTTGCAGGAAAAAAATGTTTGTACCTCATTTCTGTTCTTTCGATATGGACATCAATTTATTTCCTTGTGAACATAGCACACAGGAAGCCAAGCCGTAAGCACACCCATAAGCTCCACGAAACGAGGCCACTAGTCAAAACTAATAAAGTATTGATTTATCACCGACACCGATATCGATACTTAATCTATCGAATAATGGGAAGGTGTGTCACATGCCTATCGGTGGTAAAAATTCAAACAATTATATTCACACACCCAGCCTGGGTCAACGCCCGTCTATGAAGATACGAGTAGCATATAGTCCATCGTATGAATATGAGCTCTCAGGCTAATAAATTAATGTTTACAACTTCTAAATAATTACAATTACTAGTAAAGGCGACACATTTATGTGTAATGTAAAACTTGATTTTTTTTGCATAATAACTGCATTCGATTCACATTTGCTTGAAAACCATATCGATTCCTTATATCAATCGAAAATTTTAAGAAGGACAACTATTAAGTTCATATATGTAGATAGATGCCGTATGTGGTTTTTTATAATGACCCAACCGCGTCAAAACACAACACTTACAAAAATGTGTTAATTTATTCGTAAAATAAGTTTGATCTTCTAATTTGCAATACAATATAATATCAGAAATTAAAAAAAATTGGCCAAGTACGAAATTTTAATATGCATAAAAGAATATAGGTACTTGATGGCGCAGTGATTAGCTCGTTCGGTCTGCGACGCGGTAGCTAAACAACTTTATCGCGTCCGGTTATAAGATAGGTGATCAAAAATATATTATGTCGAGCTCCTCCATGCTTCGGAGAGCACGTTTAACCGTTGCTCCCGTCTGCATCTGCAGTCGTAAACACCCACCAATCTACACTAGACGCGCATGATGAATGATGGCCCATTCTATCTATTCAATTTCATCCATGAAGAAGGCCTGCGCCCCAGCAGTGAGGTTATTAAGGGGCTGACGATAGCGATGAGGAATATCTAAAAGAATCTGCAAATTATATTTTTAAAAAATACCATAAAGTACACTAACCTGTATTAATTAATAGTCATATATAGTGCTCTATAAAGTTCTACAATGTTATCAATGCTAGTAATCTCCTAAGTGGCACTCGCTTTAATTAATTAAAATTGCTGCAAACATTGACTTGGACACTATTTACTTTGATGATAATAACTCAATTGACATAATTTTATAAAATTGTAAACTACAATCTAATATTTTCACGTGCACTACTTGTTAAATAACATTACTTTTAAACGGTTTTATATTGTGGTTTTTGAAAAAAAAACTGTATTTCCGGATATTGCCCCATAGAAACACTACCTCATAATTTTAGCTTAGATAAAAATATTTCTTATAAATTATCTTCTATACTATACTAAGTACCTGACCAGCATATAGAAAATCCTACATTGGTATATTTTCCACAGTCGCCGGTTTGTCCTAGTGACGTAAATGAGACATTATTTACTTAAGGAAACCCTAAAATTCTTTGCTCTCTGCTTACATACGCGTATGTTAGCGTTAGCCTTAAATCAAAAGTATATTTACTAACAGATTTTACTTACTTACTGAAGTTAATAATTAACGTCTGTTGAGATGACGTCAGTAAGAACGTGGGAATGGAATAGAATAAAATTAATCTCCAAAGTATTTATTGAGCATTTATAAGTAACACAATGATGCAAATTTATAATAACTACAAATGGTGGCCTTATCGCTTAAAAATAATTTCTTCTAGGAATCAGTGTGGCGTTGATTTCTAATATAATGAAGCGACGTGTTAAATGAAGATCCCACACAGATAATGAGGATTGCTTAGGGCATCGAGTAGCCTTCATCCAGCATTGGTCAATGGCTGGACATAAAAAAATACAAAAACATTCGTATTACTAACGCCATCTGTTTAATAGAGAATCAATCATTAATATGATCGTGCTGTCGCTGTTCATTGTAAGAAAACGGTTGGGATTACGTGTCGGATGAGTGAAGTTAGATGGCGCTGACACTAACAAAAAATAAAAAAATTACTTTCTGCGAAATATGTATCAACTTAAACAAATTTTTATGTACCACTTTATTTACAGGCCCTGCAAATACATTTGCAACCAGATGAGGGTGACATCCTTATATTTATGCCGGGGCAAGAAGATATCGAAGTCACCTGCGAGGTAATTTCATCATTCTTCTTTTTTTTTTTATTTTAAAAGTAGTCGTACCTTTGATTTGATCTTTATTCACTTAATATATTTTAATTTACACATCAGCACTATGGGAAACATCAAGCAAGTTACTGGTATTTGTCGCAATAATCCAAACTAAGTTAGCTTGGTGGCTCCCTATGTGCTATGTATATTATGGTTTACAAAGCATAACATTCGATAAATGCACTGTAAATGATGTTGAATAAAATGTTTTTAATAATAATAATTTATTTGCCAAATGATATTAATTAGATACATTAGTTTCACATGTTCTACTGTGTGGATTTTTTTTACATTATGAAACAAGAGAATTCGTTTTACAGGTATTAACAGAACGTTTAGCCGATCTAGACAGTGCGCCACCTCTGACTGTGTTACCTATATACTCCCAGTTGCCAGCTGATCTCCAGGCAAAAATCTTCCAGCGGGCCCCACCCGGCCAGAGGAAATGTATCGTCGCCACCAATATCGCTGGTATTTAAAATTTATATCAAACTTCAATATAAAAACTCATTCACTGTCGCTTCCTCTCTTTCTTCAGCTTATCTCGAGCGTACCTACCGGGTATAGGCCACATTCAATATATGCATTTGTCGCGGTCTTGTGCAACCTGTATATCCACTTTTCGCCAACTAATACTTGACAACATCACATACATTGCTCAGATTCCAAGATGAGTAGCTAAAGCCCCCGTATTATGGACCTCAGAGATGGCGACACCTTGAAACCGGCGTGCGAACCACTCGGCTACGGACTCTCCATTCTATCATCATACCAATTTACTCTATAGAATATTTTTGTGTGCAATATGTCTTCAATCCGATAACGGTCTTGACAACAATGAATCTGCTGTACAATTGATTTTTTGACAGCAAACGATAAATATAAAAATAAGTTAATACAAATCCAGATGGTTACAATTTCGTAATCGAAATTTTATCCCAGTTTCTGTATATCCAGTGACCATACTATTAGTTGACAATACTATATTATTTAGCATTTTAAATATCCAAGATGGATGCTGCCACCACAAAATGGCGGTTTACATAATTTTATTACTGATAAATAAATGGGCTCAGCTTATAAATACTTTTTTTTTTCAATTTAAATTGACGTTTTTAGTGATGGTTCATTAAATGTATCTATTGGTTTTATTAATTTACGATACCATTGTGCCGTTGCAGAGACGTCCCTGACAGTAGACGGGATAATGTACGTCATAGACTGTGGTTACTGCAAACTGAAGGTGTACAACCCCAGGATTGGTATGGATGCGCTACAGGTGAGATCATCTGATCATTATCATTCAATATTATAAACAAATATATAAGACGACATCACATACACGTTAGCTAAAATTTCAAGATAAGAAGCTAAAGCACTCGTTTTGTGGAATATATTAACTTTCTTTAGAGATCAATGTGTCATTTATCATATTTTTCATGCTCAAAATAAGATTTTTTTATCTAATTATTATGTAAATGAAAACAGCATGTTAGGTCATCCATATTTTTGTTTCAAACTAAACGACAGATTTCTCCAATATTTATTCAGAATTGATTATAGAAAATTGATTTGTTAATATACCAATGTGGTACAATGTGTACACTCAACCAAAAATATGGTTTATCACTCTGCGGTTAAGATTTATTTTTAAGTCATGAAGCATCAAGGTCTATTTCTGCGACCAATTCACGACTGCGACGATTTTCAATAAGACTTCTCTGTGTGAAATAAAACAGGGAGAAAAAAAACAGCCCTTGCTGAGTTTCTTGCCTGTTCTTCTCAGTACAAGGTCTCCCGCCGTAATTTTGCGAACCGATGGCGTAGTTTTCGACTTTCACAAGTGCTCTGTAAAAGCCTAAACTGAATAAATAAATTTTGATTTTGATTTTGCGGACAAATAATATTACTTCAAAAAAAAATCTTTTCCATTTGTTTTCCGCCTTATTACAAAGTAATTTCTTTTCATATTTTTTTTTTATTTCTATATACCTTAATATTTACAAACAAATTGATTCTTTTCCAAAACAGTTATTAAATAAATATAACAACATTTAGACAATTATTAAATAATTTATTTCTCGCCTTTCGTGGTGTCTATACTTCGCACCAGATATACCCCGTGAGCCAGGCGAACGCCCGGCAGCGGGCGGGGCGCGCGGGGCGCACGGGCCCGGGCAAGGCGTTCTGCCTGTACACGCAGCGGCAGTACCAGCGCGAGCTGCTGCCCGCCACCGTGCCCGAGATACAGCGCACCAACCTCGCCAACACCGTGCTGCTGCTCAAGTCGCTCGGCGTCGAGGACCTGCTCGCCTTCCACTTCATGGACCCGCCGCCGCAGGTAGTACACCACTGTACACTGTACACTGTACACGCAGCGGCAGTACCAGCGCGAGCTGCTGCCCGCCACCGTGCCCGAGATACAGCGCACCAACCTCGCCAACACCGTGCTGCTGCTCAAGTCGCTCGGCGTCGAGGACCTGCTCGCCTTCCACTTCATGGACCCGCCGCCGCAGGTAGTACACCACTGTACACTGTACACTGTACACGCAGCGGCAGTACCAGCGCGAGCTGCTGCCCGCCACCGTGCCCGAGATACAGCGCACCAACCTCGCCAACACCGTGCTGCTGCTCAAGTCGCTCGGCGTCGAGGACCTGCTCGCCTTCCACTTCATGGACCCGCCGCCGCAGGTAGTACACCACTGTACACTGTACACTGTACACGCAGCGGCAGTACCAGCGCGAGCTGCTGCCCGCCACCGTGCCCGAGATACAGCGCACCAACCTCGCCAACACCGTGCTGCTGCTCAAGTCGCTCGGCGTCGAGGACCTGCTCGCCTTCCACTTCATGGACCCGCCGCCGCAGGTAGTACACCACTGTACACTGTACACTGTACACGCAGCGGCAGTACCAGCGCGAGCTGCTGCCCGCCACCGTGCCCGAGATACAGCGCACCAACCTCGCCAACACCGTGCTGCTGCTCAAGTCGCTCGGCGTCGAGGACCTGCTCGCCTTCCACTTCATGGACCCGCCGCCGCAGGTAGTACACCACTGTACACTGTACACTGTACACGCAGCGGCAGTACCAGCGCGAGCTGCTGCCCGCCACCGTGCCCGAGATACAGCGCACCAACCTCGCCAACACCGTGCTGCTGCTCAAGTCGCTCGGCGTCGAGGACCTGCTCGCCTTCCACTTCATGGACCCGCCGCCGCAGGTAGTACACCACTGTACACTGTACACTGTACACGCAGCGGCAGTACCAGCGCGAGCTGCTGCCCGCCACCGTGCCCGAGATACAGCGCACCAACCTCGCCAACACCGTGCTGCTGCTCAAGTCGCTCGGCGTCGAGGACCTGCTCGCCTTCCACTTCATGGACCCGCCGCCGCAGGTAGTACACCACTGTACACTGTACACTGTACACGCAGCGGCAGTACCAGCGCGAGCTGCTGCCCGCCACCGTGCCCGAGATACAGCGCACCAACCTCGCCAACACCGTGCTGCTGCTCAAGTCGCTCGGCGTCGAGGACCTGCTCGCCTTCCACTTCATGGACCCGCCGCCGCAGGTAGTACACCACTGTACACTGTACACTGTACACGCAGCGGCAGTACCAGCGCGAGCTGCTGCCCGCCACCGTGCCCGAGATACAGCGCACCAACCTCGCCAACACCGTGCTGCTGCTCAAGTCGCTCGGCGTCGAGGACCTGCTCGCCTTCCACTTCATGGACCCGCCGCCGCAGGTAGTACACCACTGTACACTGTACACTGTACACGCAGCGGCAGTACCAGCGCGAGCTGCTGCCCGCCACCGTGCCCGAGATACAGCGCACCAACCTCGCCAACACCGTGCTGCTGCTCAAGTCGCTCGGCGTCGAGGACCTGCTCGCCTTCCACTTCATGGACCCGCCGCCGCAGGTAGTACACCACTGTACACTGTACACTGTACACGCAGCGGCAGTACCAGCGCGAGCTGCTGCCCGCCACCGTGCCCGAGATACAGCGCACCAACCTCGCCAACACCGTGCTGCTGCTCAAGTCGCTCGGCGTCGAGGACCTGCTCGCCTTCCACTTCATGGACCCGCCGCCGCAGGTAGTACACCACTGTACACTGTACACTGTACACGCAGCGGCAGTACCAGCGCGAGCTGCTGCCCGCCACCGTGCCCGAGATACAGCGCACCAACCTCGCCAACACCGTGCTGCTGCTCAAGTCGCTCGGCGTCGAGGACCTGCTCGCCTTCCACTTCATGGACCCGCCGCCGCAGGTAGTACACCACTGTACACTGTACACTGTACACGCAGCGGCAGTACCAGCGCGAGCTGCTGCCCGCCACCGTGCCCGAGATACAGCGCACCAACCTCGCCAACACCGTGCTGCTGCTCAAGTCGCTCGGCGTCGAGGACCTGCTCGCCTTCCACTTCATGGACCCGCCGCCGCAGGTAGTACACCACTGTACACTGTACACTGTACACGCAGCGGCAGTACCAGCGCGAGCTGCTGCCCGCCACCGTGCCCGAGATACAGCGCACCAACCTCGCCAACACCGTGCTGCTGCTCAAGTCGCTCGGCGTCGAGGACCTGCTCGCCTTCCACTTCATGGACCCGCCGCCGCAGGTAGTACACCACTGTACACTGTACACTGTACACGCAGCGGCAGTACCAGCGCGAGCTGCTGCCCGCCACCGTGCCCGAGATACAGCGCACCAACCTCGCCAACACCGTGCTGCTGCTCAAGTCGCTCGGCGTCGAGGACCTGCTCGCCTTCCACTTCATGGACCCGCCGCCGCAGGTAGTACACCACTGTACACTGTACACTGTACACGCAGCGGCAGTACCAGCGCGAGCTGCTGCCCGCCACCGTGCCCGAGATACAGCGCACCAACCTCGCCAACACCGTGCTGCTGCTCAAGTCGCTCGGCGTCGAGGACCTGCTCGCCTTCCACTTCATGGACCCGCCGCCGCAGGTAGTACACCACTGTACACTGTACACTGTACACGCAGCGGCAGTACCAGCGCGAGCTGCTGCCCGCCACCGTGCCCGAGATACAGCGCACCAACCTCGCCAACACCGTGCTGCTGCTCAAGTCGCTCGGCGTCGAGGACCTGCTCGCCTTCCACTTCATGGACCCGCCGCCGCAGGTAGTACACCACTGTACACTGTACACTGTACACGCAGCGGCAGTACCAGCGCGAGCTGCTGCCCGCCACCGTGCCCGAGATACAGCGCACCAACCTCGCCAACACCGTGCTGCTGCTCAAGTCGCTCGGCGTCGAGGACCTGCTCGCCTTCCACTTCATGGACCCGCCGCCGCAGGTAGTACACCACTGTACACTGTACACTGTACACGCAGCGGCAGTACCAGCGCGAGCTGCTGCCCGCCACCGTGCCCGAGATACAGCGCACCAACCTCGCCAACACCGTGCTGCTGCTCAAGTCGCTCGGCGTCGAGGACCTGCTCGCCTTCCACTTCATGGACCCGCCGCCGCAGGTAGTACACCACTGTACACTGTACACTGTACACGCAGCGGCAGTACCAGCGCGAGCTGCTGCCCGCCACCGTGCCCGAGATACAGCGCACCAACCTCGCCAACACCGTGCTGCTGCTCAAGTCGCTCGGCGTCGAGGACCTGCTCGCCTTCCACTTCATGGACCCGCCGCCGCAGGTAGTACACCACTGTACACTGTACACTGTACACGCAGCGGCAGTACCAGCGCGAGCTGCTGCCCGCCACCGTGCCCGAGATACAGCGCACCAACCTCGCCAACACCGTGCTGCTGCTCAAGTCGCTCGGCGTCGAGGACCTGCTCGCCTTCCACTTCATGGACCCGCCGCCGCAGGTAGTACACCACTGTACACTGTACACTGTACACGCAGCGGCAGTACCAGCGCGAGCTGCTGCCCGCCACCGTGCCCGAGATACAGCGCACCAACCTCGCCAACACCGTGCTGCTGCTCAAGTCGCTCGGCGTCGAGGACCTGCTCGCCTTCCACTTCATGGACCCGCCGCCGCAGGTAGTACACCACTGTACACTGTACACTGTACACGCAGCGGCAGTACCAGCGCGAGCTGCTGCCCGCCACCGTGCCCGAGATACAGCGCACCAACCTCGCCAACACCGTGCTGCTGCTCAAGTCGCTCGGCGTCGAGGACCTGCTCGCCTTCCACTTCATGGACCCGCCGCCGCAGGTAGTACACCACTGTACACTGTACACTGTACACGCAGCGGCAGTACCAGCGCGAGCTGCTGCCCGCCACCGTGCCCGAGATACAGCGCACCAACCTCGCCAACACCGTGCTGCTGCTCAAGTCGCTCGGCGTCGAGGACCTGCTCGCCTTCCACTTCATGGACCCGCCGCCGCAGGTAGTACACCACTGTACACTGTACACTGTACACGCAGCGGCAGTACCAGCGCGAGCTGCTGCCCGCCACCGTGCCCGAGATACAGCGCACCAACCTCGCCAACACCGTGCTGCTGCTCAAGTCGCTCGGCGTCGAGGACCTGCTCGCCTTCCACTTCATGGACCCGCCGCCGCAGGTAGTACACCACTGTACACTGTACACTGTACACGCAGCGGCAGTACCAGCGCGAGCTGCTGCCCGCCACCGTGCCCGAGATACAGCGCACCAACCTCGCCAACACCGTGCTGCTGCTCAAGTCGCTCGGCGTCGAGGACCTGCTCGCCTTCCACTTCATGGACCCGCCGCCGCAGGTAGTACACCACTGTACACTGTACACTGTACACGCAGCGGCAGTACCAGCGCGAGCTGCTGCCCGCCACCGTGCCCGAGATACAGCGCACCAACCTCGCCAACACCGTGCTGCTGCTCAAGTCGCTCGGCGTCGAGGACCTGCTCGCCTTCCACTTCATGGACCCGCCGCCGCAGGTAGTACACCACTGTACACTGTACACTGTACACGCAGCGGCAGTACCAGCGCGAGCTGCTGCCCGCCACCGTGCCCGAGATACAGCGCACCAACCTCGCCAACACCGTGCTGCTGCTCAAGTCGCTCGGCGTCGAGGACCTGCTCGCCTTCCACTTCATGGACCCGCCGCCGCAGGTAGTACACCACTGTACACTGTACACTGTACACGCAGCGGCAGTACCAGCGCGAGCTGCTGCCCGCCACCGTGCCCGAGATACAGCGCACCAACCTCGCCAACACCGTGCTGCTGCTCAAGTCGCTCGGCGTCGAGGACCTGCTCGCCTTCCACTTCATGGACCCGCCGCCGCAGGTAGTACACCACTGTACACTGTACACTGTACACGCAGCGGCAGTACCAGCGCGAGCTGCTGCCCGCCACCGTGCCCGAGATACAGCGCACCAACCTCGCCAACACCGTGCTGCTGCTCAAGTCGCTCGGCGTCGAGGACCTGCTCGCCTTCCACTTCATGGACCCGCCGCCGCAGGTAGTACACCACTGTACACTGTACACTGTACACGCAGCGGCAGTACCAGCGCGAGCTGCTGCCCGCCACCGTGCCCGAGATACAGCGCACCAACCTCGCCAACACCGTGCTGCTGCTCAAGTCGCTCGGCGTCGAGGACCTGCTCGCCTTCCACTTCATGGACCCGCCGCCGCAGGTAGTACACCACTGTACACTGTACACTGTACACGCAGCGGCAGTACCAGCGCGAGCTGCTGCCCGCCACCGTGCCCGAGATACAGCGCACCAACCTCGCCAACACCGTGCTGCTGCTCAAGTCGCTCGGCGTCGAGGACCTGCTCGCCTTCCACTTCATGGACCCGCCGCCGCAGGTAGTACACCACTGTACACTGTACACTGTACACGCAGCGGCAGTACCAGCGCGAGCTGCTGCCCGCCACCGTGCCCGAGATACAGCGCACCAACCTCGCCAACACCGTGCTGCTGCTCAAGTCGCTCGGCGTCGAGGACCTGCTCGCCTTCCACTTCATGGACCCGCCGCCGCAGGTAGTACACCACTGTACACTGTACACTGTACACGCAGCGGCAGTACCAGCGCGAGCTGCTGCCCGCCACCGTGCCCGAGATACAGCGCACCAACCTCGCCAACACCGTGCTGCTGCTCAAGTCGCTCGGCGTCGAGGACCTGCTCGCCTTCCACTTCATGGACCCGCCGCCGCAGGTAGTACACCACTGTACACTGTACACTGTACACGCAGCGGCAGTACCAGCGCGAGCTGCTGCCCGCCACCGTGCCCGAGATACAGCGCACCAACCTCGCCAACACCGTGCTGCTGCTCAAGTCGCTCGGCGTCGAGGACCTGCTCGCCTTCCACTTCATGGACCCGCCGCCGCAGGTAGTACACCACTGTACACTGTACACTGTACACGCAGCGGCAGTACCAGCGCGAGCTGCTGCCCGCCACCGTGCCCGAGATACAGCGCACCAACCTCGCCAACACCGTGCTGCTGCTCAAGTCGCTCGGCGTCGAGGACCTGCTCGCCTTCCACTTCATGGACCCGCCGCCGCAGGTAGTACACCACTGTACACTGTACACTGTACACGCAGCGGCAGTACCAGCGCGAGCTGCTGCCCGCCACCGTGCCCGAGATACAGCGCACCAACCTCGCCAACACCGTGCTGCTGCTCAAGTCGCTCGGCGTCGAGGACCTGCTCGCCTTCCACTTCATGGACCCGCCGCCGCAGGTAGTACACCACTGCGCACTGTGCGAGACAACGCACATTGTGTGTATTCGAGGGTAGTTGACAAGAAGAACGAGCGAAATAAACATTTGCATAAATCATGTCGTTACCAGAATAGTACATATTATAACAATAATAAATACAACTTTCAAAGTCCGTAGGACATAGGTTAGGTTAGGTTAGGTTAGAACAAAGTGAAGGCTATTATTTCCATGCGTTGCGGTCCTTAAAATAATCATCAACTTTGTCTCCGAGTAGTGCGAGGGGGTAGTCTAACCTCGGCCATTATGTGTGAGGGTATATAGTAAGGCGCCGTTCGGTCTGTACTGTACAGGACACCATACTGAACTCGATGTACCAGCTGTGGATCCTGGGCGCGCTGGACGGCACGGGCGCGCTGACGGCGCTGGGCCGCCAGATGGCGGAGTTCCCGCTGGACCCGCCGCAGTGCCACATGCTCATCGTGGCCGCCGAGATGGGCTGCAGCGTGGAGGTGCTCATCATCGGTATGTCCACGGTCTATTAGCCATAATAGAGATGAAGGTTGACATACAAAGTCTCAATCCAGATCACATATTGCAAAACCAAAAGATACAGTTTGTTCGTTCTGTAAATATTAAATCGAAGGAAGCAATTCACTTATTCTAATCGGAGTCTGTTCCGCCAGTTGTTCTCAGACAAGAGTCTCAAATTTGGAACTGGTGGTTTAATTTAACAAATGTAAAAGGTTGCCACATTTTATTTGTGAATGTGTCCAATAGTATTGTTTTGAAGGTATCTATACTCTTAATTATAAAAACAATCAATATGGAACCTCTAAAGGGTCCGAAACGTCAATAAAACTAAATACAAACGCGATGAAACTGTAAAAGTTGTTTCATTTACGTTCTGAATTTATTTATATTATATTATTTCCATGGCTGTTCATTGCTACATATTTAGTCTGTGATTTTACTGAACTTTATTAAGCAATCGATAACTCGATACATTCAAAATCTGATCTGGCATGATCTTGACACGGTGTTATCTGATGTGTTGTAGTATCGATGCTCTCGGTGCCGTCGGTATTCTACCGTCCTCAGGGCCGCGAGGAGGAAGCTGACTCCGTCAAGGAGAAGTTCCAGGTGCCAGAGTCTGATCACCTCACCCTCCTGCATCTGTACAACCAGTGGAAGGCCAACAAGTGAGATCATACTTTATACTTATCCAGACCACCTCGACCTTTCCTCATCCTATGTAAGAAAAAGTGTGATTGCAACGACTCAATAACCTGTTTAAATTATGACGTAAGAATTCAAAGAAATAAATAGAAAGATCTTTTACGAAATTTAATTGAAAAAATAGAATCTTTAGAAAGGTTTTTTTGTGGGTACTTGATTTTAAGAAACCTTCGTTGTAAGAACTATGTCACCACCAAAAATGCACCATTATTCGTATTAACATGCTTTTAATGAGGAATAATAGATTGGATGTCTTGTAAACTGTCCATCTCATAGATCTGACCTAATTGACTTTTCGTTCTTTGTCAGAGCCATCCTTGTATGGAATGATCTCTTCATGAAATCAGAATGTCCACCAGTAAGTTTCACTTTTAAGAAGAAGTCGCGTAGTTATATTTTAAAATAAATAAATTCGACCATTTGCGAGAATGCCAAAGGCATTAAGTCAATGAAACCTATAAAAATTCCTAGTAACTAGACCATTTTTGCAACACAAATAAGTGGCTTTTTTATTGTTTTTAAACTCGAAAATATTCGACGGATGTGCATTTTTTATTCGAAAGCTTATTATTTGAGTCGGATTAGCGGTTTTTTTATTTGTTGAAATTGTGTTTGATTTTTTGGGATTGCCGTTTGCAGTGCCGAATTAAGCTAGAACGGTTAAGCAGAATCGTTGTAATCAATCCCCCAACCCTTCAGCCCTTTCCCAAACAAAAAAGACGTCCTTTACTTTCCGAATAACACAATACAATGAATCTGCGACACAATACAATTTATCTGCGACTTGAAAACTCAAGTCAAGTCGGACTTTTGTCAGTTTATGTTTGCATTTTATAAAACTGACTTGGAAAATTAATTAATTGGCTCTGAATCGTTGCTGGACCTCAATTGCGAGGGGCCGTAGCTACATTTGCTGCCACTTTTGCTACGTGGCGATTCTGTAAAAACTCAAACCCGAATTCGAATTCACTTCAAAAAGCTGCATCCGTTAAATCTTGAATCGGTAATAACGATTCTTGTCTTATGTGAAGTGAGTTTCGAAATGACATAGGAACAGAATATCATGAATATAATAATACTCTTTATTGCACAAAAAACAAAATTAACATAAAAACAGTAGGTAAATCACAAGCAAGGGTGGGCTTATCTGTATAAGAGATCTCTTCCAGCCAACCAGGCGGTGTGGGAGATGAAGCAGTAACGGGAGACTGACAAGTGAATAATTGTAAAATTTTATGTGAAATAATATTAACATATAGGCATGATATAAAAACAAAATAAATATACATAAAAAAACAATATTATATAATACATATAATATATAAATACATACTATACACATATGTAAAAAAAATAATCGTATGAAAAAATAAAAATGGAATCAATAGAATTTATGCACTAGACGACGTGAATTCGGGTTCGTATTTTTACAGAATCTGTCTGCTGATCGTGCGTATGTTGCAGGTATTCGAGCCAATGGTGCACGGAGCACTTCGTGCACGCCAAGGCGATGCGCAAGGTGCGCGAGGTGCGCCAGCAGCTGAAGGACATCATGCAGCAGCAGCGGCTGCCGCTGCGCTCCGCGGCCACCGACTGGGACACCGTGCGCAAGTGTATATGCTCAGGTAACGTTGCCTCTAGTCTCGCTCGGGACGGTTGTAATACATTAGCAGCTGAAGGACATCATGCAGCAGCAGCGGCTGCCGCTGCGCTCCGCGGCCACCGACTGGGACACCGTGCGCAAGTGTATATGCTCAGGTAACGTTGCCTCTAGTCTCGCTCGGGACGGTTGTAATACATTAGCAGCTGAAGGACATCATGCAGCAGCAGCGGCTGCCGCTGCGCTCCGCGGCCACCGACTGGGACACCGTGCGCAAGTGTATATGCTCAGGTAACGTTGCCTCTAGTCTCGCTCGGGACGGTTGTAATACATTAGCAGCTGAAGGACATCATGCAGCAGCAGCGGCTGCCGCTGCGCTCCGCGGCCACCGACTGGGACACCGTGCGCAAGTGTATATGCTCAGGTAACGTTGCCTCTAGTCTCGCTCGGGACGGTTGTAATACATTAGCAGCTGAAGGACATCATGCAGCAGCAGCGGCTGCCGCTGCGCTCCGCGGCCACCGACTGGGACACCGTGCGCAAGTGTATATGCTCAGGTAACGTTGCCTCTAGTCTCGCTCGGGACGGTTGTAATACATTAGCAGCTGAAGGACATCATGCAGCAGCAGCGGCTGCCGCTGCGCTCCGCGGCCACCGACTGGGACACCGTGCGCAAGTGTATATGCTCAGGTAACGTTGCCTCTAGTCTCGCTCGGGACGGTTGTAATACATTAGCAGCTGAAGGACATCATGCAGCAGCAGCGGCTGCCGCTGCGCTCCGCGGCCACCGACTGGGACACCGTGCGCAAGTGTATATGCTCAGGTAACGTTGCCTCTAGTCTCGCTCGGGACGGTTGTAATACATTAGCAGCTGAAGGACATCATGCAGCAGCAGCGGCTGCCGCTGCGCTCCGCGGCCACCGACTGGGACACCGTGCGCAAGTGTATATGCTCAGGTAACGTTGCCTCTAGTCTCGCTCGGGACGGTTGTAATACATTAGCAGCTGAAGGACATCATGCAGCAGCAGCGGCTGCCGCTGCGCTCCGCGGCCACCGACTGGGACACCGTGCGCAAGTGTATATGCTCAGGTAACGTTGCCTCTAGTCTCGCTCGGGACGGTTGTAATACATTAGCAGCTGAAGGACATCATGCAGCAGCAGCGGCTGCCGCTGCGCTCCGCGGCCACCGACTGGGACACCGTGCGCAAGTGTATATGCTCAGGTAACGTTGCCTCTAGTCTCGCTCGGGACGGTTGTAATACATTAGCAGCTGAAGGACATCATGCAGCAGCAGCGGCTGCCGCTGCGCTCCGCGGCCACCGACTGGGACACCGTGCGCAAGTGTATATGCTCAGGTAACGTTGCCTCTAGTCTCGCTCGGGACGGTTGTAATACATTAGCAGCTGAAGGACATCATGCAGCAGCAGCGGCTGCCGCTGCGCTCCGCGGCCACCGACTGGGACACCGTGCGCAAGTGTATATGCTCAGGTAACGTTGCCTCTAGTCTCGCTCGGGACGGTTGTAATACATTAGCAGCTGAAGGACATCATGCAGCAGCAGCGGCTGCCGCTGCGCTCCGCGGCCACCGACTGGGACACCGTGCGCAAGTGTATATGCTCAGGTAACGTTGCCTCTAGTCTCGCTCGGGACGGTTGTAATACATTAGCAGCTGAAGGACATCATGCAGCAGCAGCGGCTGCCGCTGCGCTCCGCGGCCACCGACTGGGACACCGTGCGCAAGTGTATATGCTCAGGTAACGTTGCCTCTAGTCTCGCTCGGGACGGTTGTAATACATTAGCAGCTGAAGGACATCATGCAGCAGCAGCGGCTGCCGCTGCGCTCCGCGGCCACCGACTGGGACACCGTGCGCAAGTGTATATGCTCAGGTAACGTTGCCTCTAGTCTCGCTCGGGACGGTTGTAATACATTAGCAGCTGAAGGACATCATGCAGCAGCAGCGGCTGCCGCTGCGCTCCGCGGCCACCGACTGGGACACCGTGCGCAAGTGTATATGCTCAGGTAACGTTGCCTCTAGTCTCGCTCGGGACGGTTGTAATACATTAGCAGCTGAAGGACATCATGCAGCAGCAGCGGCTGCCGCTGCGCTCCGCGGCCACCGACTGGGACACCGTGCGCAAGTGTATATGCTCAGGTAACGTTGCCTCTAGTCTCGCTCGGGACGGTTGTAATACATTAGCAGCTGAAGGACATCATGCAGCAGCAGCGGCTGCCGCTGCGCTCCGCGGCCACCGACTGGGACACCGTGCGCAAGTGTATATGCTCAGGTAACGTTGCCTCTAGTCTCGCTCGGGACGGTTGTAATACATTAGCAGCTGAAGGACATCATGCAGCAGCAGCGGCTGCCGCTGCGCTCCGCGGCCACCGACTGGGACACCGTGCGCAAGTGTATATGCTCAGGTAACGTTGCCTCTAGTCTCGCTCGGGACGGTTGTAATACATTAGCAGCTGAAGGACATCATGCAGCAGCAGCGGCTGCCGCTGCGCTCCGCGGCCACCGACTGGGACACCGTGCGCAAGTGTATATGCTCAGGTAACGTTGCCTCTAGTCTCGCTCGGGACGGTTGTAATACATTAGCAGCTGAAGGACATCATGCAGCAGCAGCGGCTGCCGCTGCGCTCCGCGGCCACCGACTGGGACACCGTGCGCAAGTGTATATGCTCAGGTAACGTTGCCTCTAGTCTCGCTCGGGACGGTTGTAATACATTAGCAGCTGAAGGACATCATGCAGCAGCAGCGGCTGCCGCTGCGCTCCGCGGCCACCGACTGGGACACCGTGCGCAAGTGTATATGCTCAGGTAACGTTGCCTCTAGTCTCGCTCGGGACGGTTGTAATACATTAGCAGCTGAAGGACATCATGCAGCAGCAGCGGCTGCCGCTGCGCTCCGCGGCCACCGACTGGGACACCGTGCGCAAGTGTATATGCTCAGGTAACGTTGCCTCTAGTCTCGCTCGGGACGGTTGTAATACATTAGCAGCTGAAGGACATCATGCAGCAGCAGCGGCTGCCGCTGCGCTCCGCGGCCACCGACTGGGACACCGTGCGCAAGTGTATATGCTCAGGTAACGTTGCCTCTAGTCTCGCTCGGGACGGTTGTAATACATTAGCAGCTGAACATTGAATGCTAAGAGAAATAAGCGTGCTAATTAATGCGTTAATTTATAAACGCGCTAAATCGCATTAAATCAAGCGGTACACAAAATTTCGTAGCATGTTATTTATTACATGTCGATCTATTAACTGTGAAAAAAAGTAAATGAACTCTGTAGATTTGTTATCTACAGATTATAAAATTTGACACCCTTCACTAAACTGGCCTTATATTTATTAACATTGTCATCTATACTAAACACTTAGTTATAATAATGCACGATCATATTTAACATGCTATGGGAATAAATGGATAACTTGTCCATTATCATTCGCACCTGCGAAATCGGCTTCTCCCGCGTTTGTATTAAACGCGCTGAGAGAATAAATCGTAAGCGCGTCTACTAGCGTTCGCGCCCACGTAAATACTGCCCGTTCGGCCGCGGGCGTTAACGATTATCAGGTTAGCACGCTAAATTTTTAACGTGTACATACTTAACAGCGTTAAGCGCTATTACGATTAGCGTGTTAAATTAACAAGTTAAACGCTAATTTAACCAACTCTAGTTACATTATACATTCTATATTGTACTAGACGACCCGACAGACGTCGTCCTGTTAATTATGAATATTGAATTCGAACGGTTTTTTTTTAACATCCTATTTGGCGATATTTGCAACACGCATTCTGTCAATTCTATGTCAAGCGTCGTAAGGTTAAAAAATTACCGAAAGATCGCCATCGGAACACTTGGAGCTCCGCAGAAGGGGCATAGAAACGTTCCGCACACTGTCTATAGTTAGACTGATAAGGAAGGCGAAGTTTCGTTATGTATGTGTGTTTGAAACTGTGTACGAATACGCCGAGGCGTAGTTTTGTCGGCTTCACTTTTCTGTTAGGCAAAACTCCGTCTATACTTTTTATTTGGTCTGAGCTACAGGGTACAAGAATCATTGTTAGACTGAATGTGAAAATAGCAAAATATAATCTAATAATTAATTTTCTCACTGGAAATTCCTTTGCGTTGTAAATATATATATATATTTATTTATCTATTGCGTCAGCGTACTTCCAACAAGCGGCCCGCTTGAAGGGCATCGGCGAGTACGTGAACTGTCGCACGGGCATGCCGTGCCACCTGCACCCCACCTCCGCGCTCTTCGGCCTCGGGACCAGTCCGGACTACGTGGTGTACCACGAGCTCATGATGACCAGCAAGGAGTACATGCACTGCGTCACCGCCGTCGACGGACGGTGGCTCGCCGAACTGGGCCCCATGTTCTTCTCGCTGAAGGAGACCGGCAAGTCAGTGGCCTACTAATTTACTCTTCATTAAATCAGAGCTCTCTTTTGACAATTGTCATCATTACACCGTAAATAGGGACGATATTGAAAAACACATTTTACTATTCAATTGGTTTATTTAAAATCACCATGTCGATTACAATAGTTTTACAAGAAATGACAACCCAAAGTGTATAGGCGCGAAACTGACCGAACGTCAAAGTGACACTGACAGCTAAATGGAAGATAAGGATGCCCGTGGTGAAATTGTCAATTAGTGCTGCCAGTAGAAGTCGATCTTTTTCCTCCTAACGGCATTGTTCATAATCTGATTTTATCTTGTTTCATAGAAATTACGTTTAGACTTAACAGCAAAAACCAAGATTATTCGCTAATATTCAATAAAAGTCAATATTTAAACATGGCATTGTTAATATTCTACATGATATTATATTGATAATTTTGTGTTCAGCCAGAACGCAACTTTTTATTGCGCTCCATAACACAACCAATGCAGTATAAAAACATATTTCTTTCCTAATACTTTGTTTTTACATAACGTTACGTTCTATCTTCTTTTCCAAGTGTCAAAAGAGACCTCTTATTTTAATATATCTTATGGTGGATCTTACGCACGATAAAGATTACAAAAATAAACGATCGTCTCACTCCCGTCCACTACTAGTTCGTGTTCAATCAACTAGAATACCTAAAATCGAATAGGTAAAGGACCAACGCTTGACGCCCAAGAAAAACACTGGCAGAATAATCACTGTACAAGGGCGAATTTTACTTGAAAAACATATTGATGTGATAAATAAAATGTTCTTTTCTGTTTAAACTAGGTCCAATCGTGACAAACGTAAAGAAGCAGCCGTTCACTTGCAACGGATGGAAGAAGAGATGAAGCAAGCTGAAGAAAAGATGGCAGAAGAGAAAAAGAAGAGGGAAGAAGATGTTCCTGTGAAACAGGAGATCGCCACGCCCGGTCTGAATACACCGCGCAGGACGCCTCACCGACTGGGATTATAATATTAAGTGAATTTTTATTATTTATATCAAGCCAAATCACACATCGTTAGATAGCATAAATAAAAGTTTGTGAAAAAATAAATCCTTGATTTTTGGACCGTCAGGTTGAATGATATTTTTATACCAATAAATTGACTTGAAATGTCGCATGACGTCACACCATTGTACATTTTCTACATAGTTGTGACGTAGCGAGCCCAGACTCCTCATTTAATGCCTATTCTCCAAGCCACTTCTTGTTAATTTGAAGTAAAAAAAAAAAAGATACGTAACTTACTATTTTTCTATTATCTGAACCACGGACTAAATAGAAATTCCTTTTACCCATGGCCTTATCCCTGTTGCAGTAAACAGTTAAATTATTTACCTACGTTTTGGGACAGGACATTTCAATCTTCGTGAATGTAAACGAAATAATATCGTACATCCAACAGAACAATGTCATTAAATTTATCAGTTTTTGTAGCAGATTTCAAAGTTTTATTAAAAATAAATAGACTGTCTATATTTTTCGATTCCGTTACCATATGTTTAATTATCTTGTAATGATAAGATTCCAAAAGAAATATCAATATTCACTTAAATTATACCCACACACGCGAAACTGGTAATTATTATTTAAGACTTGGACTTTAGTTAATGATTGAGATAATTTATTATTTTTTTACAATAAAATCGCTCTGTTGGATGAGCGATATCTTAACGTATGACTCGTTATTGACAATTAATTTAATGGGAAAAATATTTTGTAGCATATTTTACTTTATCTCATGTGATTTTTTTTATTGGTATCCCTAATATTTGTAATGACTATGTACTTCTGAAACTGTTTGAAAAACTGAAACAAAATTGAAATTACCAATATTCCAATTTGTGTTCTAAAACTATTTCTTTGTTTATGGTTTGATAAGACCATCGTGTTATAAGTTATCCGTGAGTTGTTACCGTTTGTAACTATATATATAATAAAATCAATTATTTTTTAAACAAAACTTTTATTATAATATAATTGTGAAAGAAACTTAAATTAATTATCTGGAACCATTTAAGCTGTTAATTACACTTCATTAGAGCTAGTTTTTTTTTAAGCGACTAATATTTGTAGAGGCAACTCCATAGTTGTTTGTATTTAAAATAAACATATCAAATCTCTCCGTGATAATTTTATTTGAAATTAAACTCGTAAATAAGACACGAGATTACATAAACAAATCTGTATTCTCCTTATTTATCTATTTAATTCAATTTAAATAAATTTCAAAATCAAAAAATGGGCAACTATGATGTTTTTCTACAATACTGTCGCTCGTAATATGAATTTGAAGTTGAACCTGTTTTTTACAGTTGAATTAAAATATTACGACAGCAACGGCATGTACGTAGCTTCCTTAAACTTTCTATTTACAAATTTATTTCACAATGACGCTAGTATACAATGCGTATCGTGCATCATTACAATATCTTAATTTAAAATCAATTCCAATCCACCTCGTGAATAATCACAGGATATTATTTATAAAAAAAAACGGCAAAAGTACAACTCTTTAATTCGCCACCTTAATTTGTAAGTAGGTTTATTTACAGAATTTACATGAGACACTTCAAATGAAATCATTTAAAAAATATTATTATTATAATTTATTTACAGCCAGTTGCACAGACGTCCATTACTTTCATTACTTTAAAGCGACATTACCCATATATAAATTTGACATTCATTAGAGCTTAATGGCGTAATTAAACATTAATAGACGATTGTGCAACTAACCGTTAGTCGTGGAGTCATTTCGTACGAAAACTGTTATCAAGTAGTTATCAAGTAGTTCAAGAAACATTTAACCGAGCTATCGAATGAATAATAATATATTTTTCTTAGGAATAGCTATTCCACATCGAGCATAATTGATGATACAATGTTTAAAAAAATTACTTTACTAAAAAAAGAACTCAAAATAAAAAGAAAGCAAATGGGCGCGTTGGTAATAAAAACATATTAAATTTCTATGATACAGTAAGAAATCATATATAAATTGTATACTGTTGATTCTGTAATCAGATTGAAACTGAGTATACTTAATCACATGGTACTGTTTCATTGTAACAAAAGAAGTCAGTAAAAGAAATACACGATATAAACAACTGTACATATTTAAAACTTTGCATTATTTAATTCTAAACAGACATACGAAATGATTTATTTTAACCAATATATTTATTAAATAACAAACACAAACTATCACTCGTATCGAAAATTAATAATAATGTGTATTTAATCAAAAAGAGACCTTATGGATAGGCACTTACTACTATTTTCCTCCCACAAAAGCATTTATAACGCAATCCAAAAATTGACGCAACAAAGTTTATGCTTTGGCACGTGATAGTTAGTTAGTTATTTGTGGTAAAAAAATCCCCCTCCAGACACATTCTCACTTTACTGACACCAAAAGAGAAAAACTATTGATAATATTATAAGATTTAAAATATAATGCAAAAGGTTTTTATGACACATATAGTTTCAAAATGTTTAGTTTTATAAAGAACATAGAAATATTTACAATGTAAATACAATTATAATAATATATATATGTTTGTTTCAAGTTAATCCACTTCGATAGTATATCATTGAGGTAATTTATTTGTAATAATATAATTCTCTTGATACAATCCCATATCTTTAAACAGAATAAGCTTTAAACTGCGTTAACAATTCCCAATATATTTAATTGTTTTTTTTTAATAATTGTAATGCCTCTTTTGCAGAGAAATAGGAAAAATGAGCCGAAATGTATGAAAATGGTTTCAACATTTCCAAATTATTCAAATCTACATTACCATAGTAGAGTAAGCTCTCCGATTAGTTGTTTGGATTATATGCTGTCTTCGTCTTATTTCAAATGGGTGACTGACAAAAAAAAAACTAAAAATTCAAATTTTCAGTTTAATTTTTTTTCTTGTTTTTGATAGTAGAATAATTTGTTTTTTTTTTTTTGTATTCACAAAGCTATGCTGGAAAACATTCTTAATGAAAAATGTTTAAAAACCCTCTTTCCTTCACAGAGTACCAGGGATAAAGTGGACTTTATAAGCAATTTTCATTAAGAGTAGAATTAATTATTAATACTTTCAAATTATTCGTATTTATTTATAGCATGGGTTGTGTAAGTACAAGTAATATTGTAACATTTTATATGTTATCATGCATTAAGTTTTCAGGGAATTCTCATTGTTTATATTGTGTTTTGAAACTTGTAGTAAAAGTTGTTAATTTTACAACAAACATTTATACATTAATGAATTCTCATTGTTTATATTGTGTTTTGAAACTTGTAGTAAAAGTTGTTAATTTACAGCAAACATTTATACATTTATGACTTTATATACACAGAAGTATAGATAAACATATGGAAGTTAAATTATTGCGATTTATCCAGCTCGACGAGCCTAGTCGACGCCAGGCATAAGTAACATTAGTAAACGGAACTGTCAAATTAAAACAACAAATTACAACAAACGTCGTTTCTATTCCGTGTACAATAATAATATAATTAGGCACTAATTTAACAATCCCATGAGCATCGAACAGTCAACCGTCGATCTGTAATCACAAGGAAGCGACATCTATGGTTGTTTGGTCGTGAAACTGATTTCTTTTCCCCGCAAATCCTGTCGCTGCTGATCTCAATTCTTCTGACAATAACGTAATCATAGCGTGTCTGATCTGTTTTAAAACATCAAATTTTGATAAATTTAAAAAATAAATAACAAAATATAAAGACTCCATACTTCATATATCGGGTACTTATTCATTTGGGTCGAAGGTACTCAATTGAAACTCAATATAATTTATTCAGTCTATGTACAATCGATATACCATTATTACGCTATCATCAGAAAAATATAGTATTATATCTGAGATATTAATATTACAACAATGAAATTAGCGGACTATACTATATTGAATTTAATTTTAATAGCAACAAGGTTTAAAATAAATTCCATAACTGTATGGGACGTTTAACATTCAAAATAAAAAAGTTTTTGATGTTCCCAAAAACGAGCTACACAATTATATAAAACATATAGATAAAGTCATCGAAGATGTAAACACACGGGAGAGTATTCGATGGGGAAAAGAAATCTCACTCGATCGAACGCGGTCCATGGTTAGATCACTGTCACTATTAGCATATGTTCAAGCCGTGCTTCTTGATGTACTTCTGCCTGGCGTCCGCTATCATCTGCGCCTTCCTCTCCTGGAAGCCGATCTGCCTCCGCTCGGCGGTGGCGGGGAAGGCGGCAGCGGCGGGGGCGGGGGCGGGGCCGGGCGCGGGGGCAGCGGAGGGGGCGGGGGGCGCGCGGCCGCGGGGCGAGGGCGGCGGCTCCGGCCTGTAGGGGGTCACGCCCTCCAGGAAGTTGGTTATCGTCACGTCCACACTGCGCGTTGTCGCTGCACAAATCAAAAGTCAAACTCATTCGAAAAAATTAAAGGAGATTTTTCTGATAGTTGAAAATATCTTATCTTTAGCTTAATCAAATTACAATAAAAGTCAAAATTTGATACTACACAATTTCCCATTTGAACTGACAAACTAAAACTTTATCAAAAACACATTCAATTTAATTTAAAAAAAGTTGCATGATTCACAGAAAAAAATGTATTATAAAAAAACAAGCAGGCGACAACCCTATGCCCAAAAATCAGGATATAAATAAATTGCTGATATATTAAAGTTCCACGGAATTAGCATCTGAATTTAATACTGCCAACAAAGGTATACACTACATGTCTATTAGTACGTAAATCTTTTGCTAATATGCCATTGCTATCGAGAAAGAAATAAAAAAGAAAATGATAAATACGTGAATTTTTTATTAAATTATTCACAGAAGAAGACTATAAACATGTCAAATTGTGTCTATAAGTCATTTAGATACATATTCAAATTTAAAATAAATAACTTACTTTTAAAAACTTTTTTTTGTCATTTTCGTGTCCCAGAAAAAGGAAAATTTGTCATTTTATTTTTTTAATAAACTAACTGTCGCATCGATGTCAGAGTTTTAGTCTACTGCTTAAAATGATATAAATTATTCGAAATGTGTAATAAAAACATGATGACATAAAAGCGGGATTTATAACATAACGTGCGTCCTGACTACAAATATATTACACGATGTACACACCCAAATCCTTGAGTATATCGGCCAGCGGCACAGCGGGCAGCACCTCCTTCACTTGCCGCGCGAGCCGCGCCGCGTCCGCCCCCGCGCGCGCCCCCGCCCCCGCACGCGACCCCGACCCCGCCCCCGCGCGCCCCAACTCCTCCCACCGGAACTCCGTCGCTTCCACCTACACATGCACACCGCTTACATACAGATACAAGATTCGAAGCAGTTTGGAAGTGAAGTCAATTATTTAGACATTCCAGTGACCAATAAAATTAAGTCGGAAGTGTTGTATCATGTTACTAGAACTTTTTTAAGCGTTTCTGGGACAAATAGACTGCGGTAAACTCGATTGGCATTAAATTTATTCCAACATGTAACTTCTGACTACAATACTTTTAAACAAACTTTTGGCATCATCTGAAAACTGAGCATTTACAATGCTACACAAAATAATATTCTTAATGCAAAATGCTTACAAAATCCACTTTATCCCTGGCACTCTGAGATGGGATTCGAATCCATGACTTTCGCAATCCGGGCGGCTGCTCTAACCAATGAGCTACCCAGGACCTAACTGGACTGACGAAACTTTCAAGCACTTGTTATTTTTTCGCTGCTACAGAGCGTATCATCATCTAAGTTCAGGCAGAACATCCGAAAGAGATATTAAGAGAAACTAAGTGGTTATTTTGAAGCATTCTTCACTAAGATTATTTTTCAACATTGGCATGTTAAAAATTGATCACAAATTACAACAGACCCTACGCCTCTTGCAACACTCACCCCTAAGCTCCGGGCGATGGCCTCTCTGGTCCTCTGTACGAAGTCCTGGTCGTTGTCGTCGTGCCGCTCCAGCGGCGGCAGGGCGGTGAGGCGGTACACGGTGACGGGCGTCCACAGGAACCAGAGCGCGTCCGACCACGGGAACTGCGAGCGCGAGTCCCACGCGCGGTGCACCGTCACGTTGGTGAACGGACGCTCCACCGCTGACATCAGATTATATTTTTAGCAACATTTCATTAGGTTTTCAACATTTAACTGTGGGTATTCTTTTTCAGATGTTTCAGATCCTTTACTGATACCTTATTCACGAAGATTTTAGGTCTCGCTTTCGAGCAATAATTATAATACAATACATTTTTTAATTTTACTTTCATAAACGTATCCGATAAGTGTTACGGTTTCTTCTGATTATATAACAAGACTTTTTTCGTACTTGTCAATACAAGGTTCCCTGATGTAGACTCGCAAGTGCTTGAAGAAACGTATTTCACATAATTACAATAGAAAAAAACATTATTAAATCTCGTATAAACGGACATTGATCTCTACAAAACAGTAATATAATAATGATAATAATTTAAAATAACAAACAAAACAAAATTCTCTGCGTCAATGTTATTAATACTTACTAATGGTCACCGGCTGAATTCTGTTCCCAATTTGAACTGGCCATTCGGTGAACTTCAAAAGACCTTTGCCGTTAGTAGCACCCCCTTCTGGCTGTAAGAGCATCGACTTGTTTGGACCGTCAGCGAAATGCTGCCTGTCAAATATAATACCACGTTTCCTTTAATTCACAAAATAAATTACGTAAACTTTCAAAATGCCCCATAACTAATGTGACCATTTTTTTGAGTCAAAATAGGACGCATACGGAATTTTGCATATAAATAGAAAAATTTCGGTGTCAATGTAAAATAAATACAAATTATGGTTTAAAATGTGACTTAATAGTTGTGATATCTTACCCTCACTGACACGCTCTCCGAGGGTGGGATTTTAGTGAAACAGCCAAAAATCGACGTTGAGAGTTCACCGAGTAGGTAGATAATAAGGTTATTAAAGATATATTTAAAATTATACTTACTTTCTCACAAATTGAGCTGCATTCTTTATGCCTAAAGTGGATGCAAAAAATGGTGGCACTTTCCATTTTTTCAGCTGAAAAACATTATCAAATTATTTCCCTCGTTAATAAATATTTGACTGAAGCAGTATAATGTAAGTACTTCTTTGCCGGTGAAGGTCAGAAAAACCTTAAGTACTACTGTATTGAATAACAACATAGGTATATTGTACACACGACTGCACGTCAGACTATACATTGTGGACTTATACCGACCGCGAGTAGTATAGAACTTCCTCATTAAGAAAGGTCAGCTTATGCTCGTGTTGTGAAGCGTGACGTGCGGCTGTGTGCACTATCCTTCCATCGGCAGTTTCGCCCCCATACATTTCATGATTTTCTTTCAACATTTCCTCAAATGCTTTTAGCATTGGCATTTATTAATTTTAATTCAGTAGCCCAAACAGGATGTTACATATTTTTAACTTCCAAAACGACAGATTTCCTTACAGACTTCTACCTTTCCAACCCCTTTTTAAGAATAAAATTTTCACAAATGTTGTAATGGGTATTTGCTCATTACTACATATCATAAAACAAAGTCCCCTGCTGCGTCTATCTGTTCGCGCAAATCTCGAAAAGTACTGGACGAATTTTCATTCAGTTTTCAATTACAGGGAGAGTGATCCCTGAGGAAGGTTTTAGTGTATAATAAGTTTAGGCTATGTGCAAACTGACGATATTCGACGACGACGTTGTTTAGAGGGGATGATTACAATGTCTTGAACTTTAAACGCTCATTACTTAAAATCGCATTTTTTGCATTGTGTCACTATCGTTCTCAACGTACGATATACATAATATATATCGCACGTTGAGAATGACATTGTCACTAATAAAAAACGAGAAAAATTCGAAGATCCCTGTGTAGTTTGCATAGAAACTGCTAGTTGGCATAGTGACAATATGTTGTTTAGAGGGGCGGATTACAATTTCTTGATCTTTAAACGCTCATTGCTGAAAATACTCATAAAACTATATTAAATAACTATTACCAGACCAGTGATATAAATGAATAAATATTTGTATTTTAGAAAACTAAAAATAATCCTGTCAGGACTGAAGAAATAAAAAATAAAATATAACGGCATGAAGTTCGCCAGGTCAGCTAGTTTATAATAAGAAACTTTCAAGCCTTATGTCAGGAACATTGAAGAAAGTTAGCTCTGTTAGCTTAAAGTTACAAGAAAAAAAGTAACAAGTGCTTGAAATATTTCGTCCGAATTGCAAAAGGTCATTGGTCCAAGTTCCATCTCAAAGTGTCAGGGACAAAGTGAATATTTTAAGCATATTTCATTAAGAATATTGTGGAATTATCTTATCTTACTTTACCATTTGCTCATTACTATGTGAATTATGTTTGACTTTAAAAAAAAACTTGTGCTAGTGCTGTAAAACAGGAAGTTGCAGAATATTGCTGCAAATCCTATTATACCCTACTATGGATACAAATATAACTGTCCACAAAAAATTCATATAAAACTTTTTAAATTCATTAACTACATTGATCTGGTCACAATGGAACATATAAGTAGACCCCTAGTAATATGGCACCTGTGTAATCTGGCACCCGTGTAATCTGACCTGGTCTATTATTTATTATTGAAAATTATTAGTTTCAGCATAGCACCATTGCTATTGCACTCAATCATTCTGATTCTGATAACATAGTTTGAATTTGACTATATGTGATTAGGATAGTGGTGCAACCATGTTTGTGCTCATTGTTTAATGTGTTATACAGAACCTTATTGGATCTGTGATTTATCAGAATACAAGGTACTTGTATGTATAAAAGAGATCTTAGAAAGTACAATCTGACAAATTCTATACTACAACACTGCTCAGCAAAATGTTTGTCAGGTTTTCTGTATTTGTTTCTGAAATGGCAACAACATGAAATCAGCATTAAAGCCACTTGATCAAGAAAGTCATCAGACAATACTATTGTCTTATTTGGTTTAGTATATTTTTCTTAACTTTCATACTCACACTAACTGTGCCCAATACATGTGATGCAGCCAGTGCATCGAGACAAGACACACAATTGGCGACCATCACACTACAACGAGGATCTTTACTACCCTTCAGTTTTACATATACTCCTGAAATCAGAAATTTTACATTTATGTTGTGTATTTGAATTTGTTTATGCAGTGGTAAAATTAAATAAATTGAAAACTGTTTATAATACAATTTACACAAAAAATATTAAAACATGTATAAAATAGCTATGTATGCTATGCTATGCTATTTAGTTCTCACTTGTATATCTCGTTTGTAACTTACCAAAAGTGCAACAAGCGAAAGTTGACAATAGTTGTCTCACAGTTTGAGTGTTTGGCAATAATATTGAAGCAATCCAAAGAATTAATGCTAAAATTATTCGTATAGCCAGAAGTACTATTCCAAAGGGCAAATACAATATGAACTGTAAAACATTTTCTCCAGAAAATCTAGAAACAGAAATGAATCTTAAAATAAACTAGTAGGAAACCATTCACAGTAATAGATTTTATTATAACTTTCCAAAAAATAACACTAAACGTTTAGGACGCATGCACTATTTTTCTTAATATTTTACCTATCATCGTTAACAAGTTTGTCCACTGTTATAGGCATTTCTTATTAGCATTTAATATTTTAACTTTGTAATAAAACACAAGTGTTCGTCGGTTTTGCAACCCAAATTATTTCTTGCAATCGCAAATTTCTACCCATATGTATACGTTGACATTAGAGATGGAAAAAATTATCGATTTCAAAATATTTACTTTAAAAATTGAAACTTTTAATCGAATCGAATTGTAAATTTTGGCGTACTGATTTTTCACACTATAAATAGTTAGTTTAAGTACGTAAAGAATAACAATGTGGCTTTTTTTTATTTTAAAATTAATTTTGAATATAGCAAATATAAATTGCGATTATTTATTTAAGCTTTATTGCAAATATTAAAACATACAAATGGTGGACTTAATGCTATGAGGCATTATCTACCAGTCAACCGGAGAGTTGTGTTGGATCGTAGGTTGGATGTTGTCTGGTCTATGGTATAAAAAAAGTAAATCAATTTTAACGCGGCATTCATACTTTGACTAGTTTTTGTTTCTTTTTCTTTTCACAATATACATTAACTGTACAACAATCCTGATTTAATTATTTTATTACTTAGTATCTACAATTTAATATCACCTTCTGGGATATCAAGTTGTTACAGAAGCTAAAAAGCGGTGCAACAATGAAATAGAGAGCTAAACAGTTTCAATTTGAATAATAAAATTACAAACTACCAAAATCAATAAACAATAGCATGCAAATGTAGAGTCTGGCAAGCGAAACGTGTCACAAGAAAAGGGCGGCAATTTCAAAAATTCTTAAGCAGTAAACACTGAATGTAGTACTGCAAAATAATTTTGATACTTTTATTAATTATATTTAATCTTAACATTTAGATATCAATTAAAATTATTTGTTTTGGAACATTTGACTAAAGCGTGACTGTTCTTAATTGTACAGTTAACAGCATATCAGTAGGCCTATTCACTAACTCAACTGACAACCAAGAATCGTCATCACCGTAAAAAATAGACACTTTGATTGTGTCAAAATCACTATTTCGTATTCTCTATCAATGATGAGCAATTTCGAAATGTCAATATCGGCATTCTCCACTGGACTCCATTTTGACACTTGATTTCGTATCGATAAACTGTATTAAAGTAACATTGTTGCAAAGCATATTTGAAGTCGTCGCATAGTACCTCTTAAGCCATTTGTTGTTAAATTAAAGCGAAAAAAAATACGTATCCAATATTTTTCTATTATCTGACTGACGGACTAAATCGAATCTTTTTTTTAACCCATTCGTTATACCTATTGGCTAACAGCACTTATAATATTAAAAATTCATATTTGTCATTAATTAAAAGGGTGTTTTTTGCAACGACTTCTTTGTTTTTTTGTAATGAATATGGGCGACTCTGGCCACATTTTTTTAATAAATGTGATGTTAGCCAATTTTGATTTCTGGCCCTTATATTTATAATGTGTTCATAACACATACATGTCTCCTAAGGGATTTTCATCACAACCTTTTGCTCTGATCCAGAACCACTATCTATCAAATTAAATTAGTCAATATAAACACCAGATTACAATAAAAAAAACATTTATTTTTGTTACAATTAAGTGCCATGGATAAATTACATAATACAGGTGTCACAAAATCATCATGTTAATCACAATAGAAAATTTAAGATAAGATTTTGACTATGAATCAGACTAAAAATACTTTAGTCTGATTCATAGTCAAAATCTGTTTCTAAATATTCTACACCTGATAACAATGACAAGGAATCATCAGAGTCACTCTCTTCACTACTGTCTGCACCAACAGATATAATAAATTTTTCAAGTTCGTTTTCAACAATGCCATCTTTTAATTTGTAATCATTTTCGACATTTAAAACATGATCAGTGTATTTCTTCCAGTCACTAGGGGTAATTAAGTTAAAACACTCTATTATTAAGTTTTCCATTTCCTTTCCTGGTATTCCAATGTTTCTGCTTGCAATTTTTCTTTTTGCTTGACTCCAAACCATCTCTATTGGGTTTAAGTCACAATGATACGGTGGCAGCAATAAAAGTTCATGATTATGTTCTTTTAAAATCTCTTCAGCTTCATATACAGGCAATGTTTTCTTATCATTAACCAAACACATTAACTCTGCCTTTGTCTGATATTCCTCAAAATGTATTCCATTATTTACAAGCCATTTACGGATATCTGCTTTGGTATTAGACATTATAGGCGGTTTATTGATTTGTTTTATATGGTAGCTGGCATTATCCATAACAATTACACTGGGCTTACTTAAATTTGGTATTAATTTTTCTCTGACCCATTTCATAAAGTTCGATGAGTTCATATCATCATGATAATCAGCAGATTTGGATTTACTACTGAACACTAATAATGCACCAGGCACAAAACCTTCCTCAGATCCAGCATGCACAACAATATGCCGTTTTCCAGAGGATATCTTTGTAGTGACACCAGTTGTTGAAGGTCCTTGCCAAGACTTTTTAACTTTATAATTCTGATGTACATAAGTTTCATCAAGGTACACAATTTGCTTTCCTTCGTTTCGTTTTATATTTATTTCTCTCAAATACTTGTGCCTCCATGCAGAAATCTGGTATTTTTCTATAAGCATAGAACGTTCATTTTCATTGCTTTTAAAAGAAAATCCATTCTTAAGCATAATTTTTCGTAAAGTCTCACGGCTACCACTGAATCCTATTGCATCTTTTAATTCATTGTGAAGGCTTCTTAATGTTGGAACAATTTTTTTCACACAGTAAAATTCATTTACTTTATTCCGAATTGCACTTAAATCAAAATTATCTAAAGCAGACACTGTTGGTTGATGAGGTCGTTTTTTCCCAGGAGTGTCCCATTTTCCTTTATTAATTAATGCTTCATTTTTTATCCTTCTTAGTGTCCTTATACTTACATCTATAAAAGATTAAACACTTTGAAACAAAGATATGTTAAATGTATTTAAAAGCAAATAATGATAGACACATACATCAAAATAATTTAAATACCTATTCAACTATGAATGCAATTTATGTTTAATTTAGTTAAGTTTATGTGCATATTTAGCATGTATAACAATTACATGGTTTGATTAGTTTCATGAATTCTGTGAATTTCCTTGTTAAACAAAACATTCTTATGACATCATTGGATGTCAACAATAAAAACCAATACATCATAAAAAACCTATGTAAATATTATAGGAATACTATCAATCTATCTTAAATCAAAACAAGAAAAGAGACCTGTCATTGAAGAAATTTTTTGTAAGTACTGCGTTTCCGAATTTTAGCATTTCTTGTTTTTCTAAAGTTTTTATTGCATTTATCTCCTCCATTATTGGTTGAATATCACCATCACAGTTATCTGAAATAGAGCAATATTTTATAAAAAATATCTGTTTAGTTAATTACAGAAAATTAAAACGAAAGTATCAAAATTATAATACAAAACTAACCTAAAAAAGATACAACTTTATCTAATCGTTGTAATTTCTCCATGAAATTTTTATTTAATTCAGTTTTCACTTCAGTAAACTTGTCAATCATGATGGAAAGAAGTTTCCTCGATGAACTTTTTATCGGCTTCGACATAATTTTTAACCAAAAACACAAGTTCAAATTCGCAAAAACAACAAAATTCAATATTCTTGAATTGTCTAACGTAGTGTCAAACTGACAGTTCTATGTTGTTGCCATATGAAAACGGAAAAATAGGTGGTGTCACGTTTCACTTGCCAAACTCTAGTAAAAGAAGTCACTATAAGCACTGATCAGTCCACCCCAACGTAACGTAAGAGTAACGTAGAATACACCTCTTACGTTACGTTGGAGTGGATTGATCACATTTGCAATTTATTGATTCTCGACAGCTCTCATTATTTGTATGCAAATTTACGCACAAGTGGAAACAAATAATCTGGATGATGCCATATGCTCGATAAATGAAGTTCTACAAAAGATCTCGGACGGGTCTAATACATTTGGAATTCGAGTCAATCCTAACAAGTGCCAGGGTATCATAGTGGGTAGTACGCAATTTTTAGCGAAGGTGGATACACTATTCTTAATTTTAATGGAAATTTAATAAAATTTGCCCCTCATGTTATGGATATTTGCATTGACAGCTCACTGAACTGGAGGACCCAGACTGACTTTGTCTGCGGTAAAGTAATTGGCATACTTAGGTCTTTTTATCAATTCAAAATTTTCCTTCCCATCTCCACTAAAATCCTTTTAGTCCAATCAATAATATTTCCTCATAATTGATTATGCTGATGTATGTTATGCTGAAATCACGCAGAAACTTCTAAACAAACTAGATCATATACTCAATAATTGTATTTGCTTTATATTCTGCATTCGTAAATATGATCATGTCTCTGCCTTTAGAAAAAGTTGAAATGGCTAACAATTCGCCAGCGTAGGGATATGAGGATCCTCTTCACTCTCCTTCTTATAATTAAAGAACCATGACAGCAAACAAATGATTATGATGACTCGCGCTTGGCCAGTTTTTTAGATGTTAGTCTCGATCGGGAACTACATAAAAGTGACAAAAAACGCGCGGCATTTGAATCGCAATGCGAACAAGGTGTTATATCATTGTGAAAAAATTTAAAATCGCGATGTGGACAGTCCCTACTGCATATGCATTTGCGAAATTTTACCGAACAGTTTATCGATACAACATCAAGTGTCAAAATAGAGTTCAGTAGAGATCGCCATACGTAGTGATTTTGACACATTGGAATTATTCCCTTTTTTCGGTTATTACGACTTAAGATTGTCAGTTCAGATAGCGGATACGCCAGCAGATACGCCCGCGTATCTGCTGACGTGAAATTTGAACATACTTAACATCAAAGGCTTTGTTGCAACTGCAACCCGCGCTCATATTTATTGGATTGTGACGTCACAGCTCGACCTGGCACGTACCGATTGTCTTCGCGAAAATATGAAAAAGTTTAAAATTTTTATTGTCATTTAAAATGAAAGAATAAGCTTAATTAAAAATGAGTGTGAAGTTATGAGTCTTCAAAGTCCCATTTTTCCCATTTATTGACATATGCAAGCTCATTTTCATTGGTCAATAGGATCCACATGCGGAGTGCAGAAGATTTCTGTGCTTATTTTTATTAATTGGTCGTTGATTGTCATTAGATACAACTACACTCGACTAGTACAAGCTCATTTATAGTGTTCAATTGGACATGGGTATTAACGCAATAGATTTCGATAGTTAGGTTTTTCACCTACCTGTATTTCCCGACGTTTCGATCAGGTTACACCGGCCGTGGTCACAGGCTGACTGTTTCGGCGATGCTACGTCTCGTCTTCTGAAGTGGAATCCACTTCCACTTTTTTCCCCAGCACGCGTAGCATGACGAACGCGAGAACGTTTTGTCTACACTCAAATGTCACTTTTCTCGGGTGCGCTCATACGATATCTCACTCTCGACCCGAGAAACTGACAAATGAGTGTAGACAAGGCGTTGATATTAAACAGTTTTGTCTGAGAGAGAGAGAGACATTTTGATTTTTTATTTTATTTTTTAATTTTGATAGTTGTGTCTGGACTAGACATAACACATCCCTCGAGCTCTCAGTCAGAGATTAGGACTTTCCTCTGAGTAGTCTGACTGAAAACTCAATATTTATTAATAAATATAATAAAAATAAAATAGGTTTTATTTGCTTTTTTATTTTCTGGCTTAGCACAAGAACCATACAATATCACTCATAAAAGTCAGTGTCAACTGAAAATAGGTCGTATCAAGCAATATTCGAATCCGGCAATTTTAATGAGTCCTTGAGAGCACTTACCGTGCTCTAGTATCGAGTATCGCTTTTAAAGTATCGATACCAACTTGATATCGAAAGTATTGTTCCAACCTAACTACGAGATGGCGCTGATGTGCGCTGAAACGAAGCGAATGTACAAATAAACTGCAACTCTGTATCAGCCTTACACAAGGTTAAAAATGATGAATTGTGATTTGCTTTGCTCATAACTCATTGTTGTTGCAGTTGTTTGTTGTCTGTCATAGGTGGTCGTACGTAATCGTAATCGTAATCTGCTATTTCTTTTTCCTCGAGCATGTTTTTTTTCTTTAGACTTAGATTTTTTGTGTGTTTGTTAATACAAAGGATATAAATTTATCATACAAATTTCAAAGGTTTTTTATTTGGATTGGACACTGAATTCAGTGCTGCAGTGTTATTGAAAACCAATCGTATATTACGTATTACTGTACGATTATGTCGACGAATAATATTGTGGCTTGTCACGAAGAGAATTCATGTTCAGATGGAGAGTTAGAACATAAAAACCAAGGAAATCATGCCAATCCTAATGACACTCAAGGCTTTTCCTCCAACACGCCGAACATGCTCAATGAAATGGAAGAGAAAATGCGCCGTAAGTTGCAGTTTTTCTTTATGAATCCAATTGAAAAATGGAAAGCCAAACGGAAGTTCCCTTACAAGTTCGTAGTTCAAGTAATCAAGATAGTTTTGGTCACTTTCCAGCTCTGTCTCTTTGCTCATAATCGCTACAATCATGTGAATTATACATGGGACAATCGTATCAGTTTTTCGCATCTTTTCCTTTTGGGTTGGGACTCAACTCGCGAGATTAATGCCTATCCACCTGGTGCTGGCCCATTAGCTGTCTATAAAGTAGATGAATTTTATAACACTTTGGATTATGCATATGCTGGCTATTTAAACCTCAGTAATACTATAGGCCCTTATTCTTATAATGATGAAAATAACAAAAGGGTTGACCCAACATTTTGTCAATATAATTACAAACAAGGTATCATCAACGGATTCAATGAAAGCTATGAATTTAACTCTGAAATTGTTGAGACATGCACAACATTTTATGGAGGTAGTGATGTCCTGTTTAGTTCTAAAGATCTATTGAAGAAGTCAGAGTTAGACATAAACTTTGCAGCCTTAGTTCGTGCTAAATTAATGTTTTCTTTGAAAACTATCAACTTTAGAGCTGCAGGGCCGATCACTCCGCCTGACTGTTATCGATTTGATATTGCTATAGTATTTGATAATGAAGATCACGATGGTCAGATGTCACTATTTTTGGAAGCGGAACCTTTCAAGTTAGTCTGCAAAGGTGATCAAGAATACATCACAGATAACAAAATTGATCAAGTCCTAAGGAGCATGCTAAATATCTTAGTTATATTGATTTGTTGTGCATCTTTTATTCTGTGCAGTAGAGCCATTTACAGAGCACAGCTACTAAAAGAGTTAACTGTCCAATTCTTTCAACGAGCTTACAATAAGGAGTTGAGCCTTACTGGTCGTTTGGAATTTTTAAATATATGGTACATAATGATAATAGCTAATGATATTCTCATCATAATGGGATCAGCTATAAAAGAGCAGATTGAACGTAACTCATTTACAAATGATCAATGGAATGTCTGCTCACTGTTCCTAGGTACCGGAAACCTACTAGTTTGGTTTGGAGTTTTGAGATACTTAGGTTTCTTCAAGACTTACAATGTTGTTATACTAACTCTGAAAAAAGCTGCACCAAAAATATTCAGATTCTCCATCTGTGCTTTATTGTTATATGCAGGCTTCACATTCTGCGGTTGGCTAATATTAGGACCGTACCACATGAAGTTCCGTTCACTTTCAATGACATCGGAATGCTTATTCTCACTTATTAACGGAGATGACATGTTCGCTACATTTTCGATTATGTCCAAAAAATCACCTATGCTCTGGTGGTTCAGTAGAGTATATTTGTATTCATTTATAAGCTTGTACATATATGTGGTACTCAGTTTATTCATATCAGTTATAATGGATGCTTATGACACCATAAAACAGTATTACAAAGATGGTTTTCCGAAGAGCGACCTACAACAGTTCATTGGCGAAACAAACTATGAAGAAGTCTCTTCTGGATTATACAGAGTTCAAAGTTCAACATCTCTCAATGCGATAATGAATTCATTGTTTTGTTGTAATCTATACAGAAGGGCTTACTCAAAAATAGGCGGAGGTGTAACAAATCAAAGTGCATGATCTCAACATTATTTATATGGGTATTATACTTATATTAGTTTAATTGTTATATCAAATGTTATCTGAACTTTATCTAATAAGTATCATTGGTGTTATAATTTCTTTATCTTTAATCAAGGACCTGTGGACTGCTCATGGGCAGCTGTTTTGGTACTCTATTATGAAGTTATAAGTTATAACAATTATGCAATTATAATCACGTAAGATGAAATGTATACCAAGTTTGCCAAAGATCACTTGTGTGCATTCATATAAGTACATAATATTTTATATGTTTATCAACAGGGAATAGATAAGTAAATACTCATGTATATTTATTTATAAAGTTTCCATTTCTGTTTGCTTATATAAGGTTTTATAATCATTTTGAATTACAATTAACTGTACATTGTGAAACTTATACAAAAGTAATTTATTTAGATTTGGCATGGAAAAATCAGTTTATAGGTTCTATGCTATAGAGCTTTTGTTACTATGCCATTCTTTATGTCAACTGATAATCTATCCTGGACAGGAGAACAAAGTGTAAGCCTATAGCTCAATAGACTAGAACAAAAGGTTACCAGAACTATTAATAAGTATATGTAATTTGCATGATTTATGTTACATACAATTATGTAAATCTAAATTTATTAGAGGCTGGCTGGCACTTACTAATGATTACTAATTTACTATAGTCTGTAATATGTCTATAATTTTGTAGAGGATTAATGAATTTTTCCAAATACGTAATTCGTAACACTTACTTAAATCTCTTGAATGTGATTGATAAGCCAGCTGTATTAGTTGTACCTGAAGTACTGGTGTGAATATGCTCATTGTTGCTTAGTTTTAGAATTAAAACTGTGCATCCTAATGTTAGTTGTAAAAAAGTAAAATTGTATATATTTCGGTAATTTATGAAAAGATGTGTTTATTATGGATATTGTAATAATACCACAAATAAAACTAACATTTGTAAAAATAAACTTTTTGTATTTGTCAAATTTTCCTGCCAGAGGACTGTGGAGCCGGGCCTTTATCGCCATCTGGGAATAACCGTCTATCTCGTTTACGTATTCAGAATGTTTAGCAAACATACAAATCTGCCACTATAAATATGTGCCGATCAAATTGAAATATCAAAATGCTATGAATTGTAATAGTATACCAAATGTAAACGTGAGGTTTGTGATATTCATTTGATATCTGTTACGAGGTCGTAATAACACGGCGCTCGACAGATAACGTAAAGGTGTCTACAATAAATAATTATATTTATGACCTTCGTAGTGATAGGACTTTGCTTGGATTCTTATCCCTATTACAGGACATGGAAAATGGTTAGATCATATGGCAAAGAAACTCGCACGCGTTTTGATACCTTGATATCGTTAACGCTGTAGACCCAGGTTCGGTCTCGGCTGGGTCAGTGTGGAATACTAAGTTATCTATATCTTCGGAGGTCTGTTTATATCACTACAATAATGGCTTCGTTGTTTCGGATTCTTAATTGCTTTAAGAATCTCTTTGGAGCGATTAATATCGTATTTAATTTATGTATTATGCGAGACGGGAACCATGCAAGTGTATTTACTGTATCTCACAAAATCTGAGTAGAGAAATATCCTATCTAGACTAGAGATTTCTTTGTGCCTACCGCAGCTACATTTTCAGAATTAAAACTGCGCCTAAAGACGAAGAGATAAAATTAACGCGCTCGTCCACTGATAGATAGGGTACAGTATATCGTATGATTATTATTATCGACCTATTAATAGGTAGTATTCCAATGAATGGAATCGAATGGAATAGAGAACGCATCTATCTCTATTAACCCGTCATTGAGAAAGTTGCTTTATTTCCGCATCGTAAACTGGGCACGCTGACCTGCCACTGGGTGGGGTGCAGTTTAAGACTTCGGCCAAAATTGTAAAGCCGGGCATTAAAAAACTAACCGGATTAACGTATCCTATTGCATCATCAAAAATGAATGACGAAAATGGAAAATTCTTTACTCAAATAAGCACTTTTCAATCGTCCAAATAATATTTTTTCCTACCACTCGTTCAGCAGGCCAATACTGCTAATGTAGGTACTAGTGTTGTCAGGTCCAATTTATTTTTAATCGGGACAGCGCGTGTAATTAATCGGGATTTGGGGTTGTAAATCGGGACAGACAAAAAAACAAGTATTAGTACTAGTTTGGTAGCATTTTCGCTTTCAGACATAGATACATATAGTTAGGGGCTTTCAAAAATGGATTTGACAGTATGAAAAAAAAAATTTTTTTTCTTAAAAATACTTGTTTTCTTCGGGACATTAGCGTCCCGATTAGGTACAAGTCGGGACGCGTCCCCGGACCCCTGAAAATCGGGACGTCCCGCGTAAATCGGGACACCTGGCAACACTAGTAGGTACCCACTGAATAGTCGCTACTTAATAACCTCAATTGCTTACGTTCTACCTGAAGTCCAATATTATTAGTGCAATGACTTCCTCGCACATCAATGGTAGGTGACAGATATATTAGAATTCAGATAGCAATGGCAAAATGCAAGTACTTACGACTCCATTGAGATACGATCATTATGCAAACATTGGCGGAATTGATTTGCAGGACACCTTTTCACTGACAAGAAGAGCTTCTAACAATTTTAATATGACGTACAAAACGTCAAAAACGGGGATTCTCCTCGATAAACAACTAATGTGAGTCACGCGAAATTGCCACGAGGCATCACACTTTAACTACATAGGTACTCGCAACCCATTGTGATTATTATAATAGCTCTCAATCCTACTCCTCGGCTAAGTACAAGATGACTCACATATTTAACAAATTTCCATAATGCGGTTAAATATAATATACCATGTATAGTTAAGGAGCAAGTTTGTAAAAAAAAATTATAAATACACGTTTTGACCCAATCAGTACTCCCATCTGTAAGTGTTATTATTCTAAAAAAAAAAACTTTTAAATGGTCTAATACTGCTTGCTCTACGACAAATAGATTTTTTTGTATAGCATTAGAAATTAGCCTGCTTTTTTGAAAAACTATCGGAAATGTTGATTTAAATGGCACAAAAAAAGAGTGTTTTTTATCTCTTTACATTTACATCAATTCATCTTTTTCAAATAACATGATCTCGGTAGTTACAGTTTAGTGAATATTCTGCGTAATGTGGGTTACAGCGTTTTTGCTTATAAGGCTTCAGTAACGCACCACGATTACTACATATCTTCGAAGATAAAATGGTTATTCGTGGCGGTTTATTACAGTCCACGCATATAATAATATTTTAAATTATCGAATTCCATTACGACCGCAAGTCGTAAATCACTCGTTCCCGCCATCGGAAATCTAACACCGGCGTTTAAACATTTTAATAATATTAAGTTTCAGCTTATTAAGAAGTTATTATCTACGTTTTATTCACGGAAATATTTAGAAATCCTTTTAAATTTTCTCAGCTGTATGATGGTTCATCGGAGATTCCCAGTTTGTACGTTTGTTTAAAACACGCCTAGTAGCCCAGTTTGGCAGCTAGGCGTGTTTTAAATACTAATAAAATATTCAGCTACTAATTTTTTATGCTAACATACGAAAATGAACTCCAGACTAAATCATCGGTGAAATAATTGTAGCAGCTAATTGAAATTACATTTGATCTTCCATCGTTTTAACGAATGATTGACAAGAAGAATTTTTAAGAAACCGGTGCTATAAATTAATTGTAGGTAGAATACAGGACCGAACAAACCACCATAACTTTGTTTTTGGCGCCTACCATAATATCAACAGCTAAACATTCAACCGCCAATGGCGCAGTCAGAACGGCACGCGTCGAAAGATGCGAAACGTTATTTGTATGAAAACGATGAACCCATTGCACACACACAAAGTCGCACGTCACTCTACACACCACCATCGTAAGCAGACCTCTGTTAGTAGGGAAGTTCTATACTAATCACAGTCGGTACAAAGTACACAATATATAGTTTGACGTGCAGTTTGTAATTCATTATATTCCTAAGCAGTTGACGATAATTCCACTATCGTGATCGATCACTATCAGTGAAAACTTGCATGCTGGTAATATTTTCTTAGTTGCAAAACCGATATTTTTCAATCCGGCAATGAGAACGAAAAAATGTGAGAAAATAAGCAATTCTATTTACATTAAAACTGAATATTTTATTTTAAATAAACAATATATATTCATTATCAATACATTTAATAACTGTTACAACATTTTTACCTACTCGTTCATCAAGAATATACAAAAATAACAATTTAACTTACAATTATATACAAATAATGTAATTTTAAACACAAACAAAATTCACATAACCGTTGGCAGATATAATGATTTCATTGAAATATTTTCCTTATTTCAGTGAAATGTTTTTGTAACACCAAATACTTAACACTTAAATAGGAACATGATATCGGTTTCTGCTTACCCCCCTTATTATATCAATGAAAGTAAATATTCTCGTAGGCTCACAGCAGGCCTATTGTCAAAGGGCCCCGCCAAAGGGGGCCCCCCTTTGGCGGGGCCCGGCGCCGATATTTGTGAGCAAACATTTGTAATAATATCCGCAATCTTACTCGGGCAGCAAGTTAGTAAATCATCTTTACCAAACAAGGGATAAATTGCATAAATCACTTAGCATTTTGTGAACGTGCCCCATAAAAAGGATGCTTTTTACTACAATAATTACAAACGACAAGTAATTCATTTGATACAGGGGAGCGATTCCGTAAAATCCGAACCAGAAATCGAATTCGCTCTTCTCCGAATTCCCGTCATTAATGTATAAATTCTATTTATTATATTTTTTTGAATAGAAATACAAAACAAAATTGATAGATTATACGTGTCTCAGATATTCTATTACTATGTAATTTCGAAACTCTCTTCACTTATGCCACGAAACTTTATTAACAATTCAAGGTTGAGCGGATGCCGCTTTTGAAGTGAATTCGGAAATCTGAGTTAATTACAATTCGGGTTCTGATTTGACAGAATAATAGGGCTGTGGCTGTATTGGTTCATTTGAGAGATTTGATACTTAAAAATATAGGTAGATAATATTTATATACCACATGAATATAAATAAAACAATAAATATTATTACTCAAATAAGCGACATAATAATATATACATTGAAGAGTTATAACAATATAATAATAAATTCTAAAAAAAAGGCGTACTATATGTTATAGATATGACAGGGTCAAAGTTTTAAAGGTCACAGAAAATTATGTACATTTTATTTAAAAACTCGATATCGTTCTTTCATTGTATTTGACTAACAATTCTTAATCCAAAGATCATGGGCATATCCGCACTAAGATAACGTCTCCCATTGAGTAATATATTGGTATATCCCGATTACTGCTTGTGATGCAAACTTAGGATTAAAAATACGTATTAAAATATTATCTGTTGTCTAACTGAATTTGTGTGACCACAGAGTAACAACCAGCAAAATGCCATAGACACCTACTAAAAAAGAGCTCTAGTCAAAGGGCCGAGAGAATACCTATACTTGATATTATTAATATTATTTAAGAATTGCTGAACATATCTTACAGGAGCCTTTACTATTATATTTCAGTTGCTTAACTAGTCATTAAGACTAAGAAAAAACGAATAAATTTCTTGTTAACAAAGTAATATAATATAAATAACAAAATAAATTATTATCAGCCCACAACACGAAAGCAAATCATGATGAATTAGCCGCCAAAATATACATATACTTTCTAACCTTTAAAAGATATTATTTTAATACACTAAGTAGATTTCGATTACTATACACATTTCAACACTCACTTAAATAAGTCTATAAAAATTACAATGGCATAATATAAATATTATATTAAATAATGTAGAATGAAATATTAATATTTCTCATATAAGCTACCTGCAGTCCGTGTAATAAATATATTATATTATGGCATGATATGACGACTACATATTTATCTCACTTAAAGTTTATTGTTCGTAACTTCAGACTAAAGCCTTCGTTTCAAACTCCCTTAAATCTAATCATTTATAAAATCTAAAAATGCTGCCATACAATAATACATCTTTAAAGTCTATAATAATTCAACAATACCGATACGTTCTCTTCAATAAACGAACATGTCACACGATGAAACATATCAATACTAATTCAACACTATTGAGGGACAGACAACGGACTTCGGTTCACGCGAGAAACACAATTATTGCCAGCGAAGCACACGTCTATGTGACACCATAACAGTCCGGGTGAGTCCGTACGAAAAGATACTCAACGTCCGTCCGTTCACACACATTACTTCTTGTCGTCGTCCCTGGCGGTCGGCTCCGCGCCTAAAAGCAGCTGGATCTCGTCGACACTCTTGCCCTTCGTCTCCGGCACCACGAAGAATATGAACACGAAACCGATCACCATAATGCCGGCGAACATCCAGAACACTTGCCCGGACCCTATGGCCGTGTTGAGAGAGTTGAACGTGCTCGTGACCGTGAAGCTGAGCAGCCAGTTCAGGGTCCCGGCCGTGGAGCCGACGAAAGATTTGATGTCGATGAGGCACAGCTCCCCGGCCATCATCCACGGGATCGGACCGAAGCCGAGCGAGAAGGCGATGATGAACAAGGACAGAGACACCAGGGGCAGCCAGGATATCGCCTGCAGGATGTCGGCGTTCTCGCCGTGCTGATCCTTCAGGAAGAAGAACACTCCCAGAGCGGTGGAGCACAGGCACATGACCAGAGCGGACAGCAGCAGGAGGATCCGGCGGCCGAGCTTGTCCACCACCAGGCTGGACACGAAGGTGGCGATGACCTGGATCACGCCTATGATGATGGTGGCGATGGCCGCGTCGATGGCCGCGCCCGCCGAATCGAAGATCGCCGATGTATTGAAGATCACCGCGTTGATGCCCGACAGCTGCTGGAACAACATCAGCGCGTAGCAGATGATGAGCGCCTTCACCGCCGTCTTCTTGGATATGGCCGCCGTGAACGCGACGGGATTCTCCTTGGCGTGGGTCGCCTTCGCTTTCAGATTCTCGAGTTCGGTGTCGACGTCGTAGGCGCGGCCGCGCAGTTTGATCAGCGCCTCGCGCGCCTCCTCGTTCCTGCCCTTCACGACCAAGTAGTTGGGGCTCTCCGGCATGAAGAAGAATATCGCACCGAAAATGATCGGGATCAGCGTGCACAGGATGTTGAACACGAACACCGAGGTGTAGCTGCCGACGGCGTACGCGAACAGGATACCGACGGTGATCATCAGCTGGAAGTAGCTGCCGAGGGTGCCACGGATCGAGTCTTGCGCTATCTCGCTGGTGTAGGCGGGCGCGGTGACGCAGAACGCTCCGCCGGCGATGCCCGTGATGAACCTGCCCGCTATCAGCATAGCCAGGTTCGAAGCGAACGTGATCAGCAGCCAGCCCAACGTGAACGGAAGCACGAGGAGCAACATGGTCTTCTTCCGGCCTATGGCGTCCATGATCAGGCCTATGGGGAAGCAGACGGCGGCAGCGCCAAGATTGATGACCGAGGAGACCCAGTCTCCTTGGGAGACGTTCACGTCAAAGTCGTAGTCGGTGCTGTTGGCTTGGATTATCTTGAATATCACCGGGGAAGACCAGCCCAACATAGAACCGGCCGCCAACGCTCCGAGTGTTGCTGAAAATTTAAAATTAATTCTTGTAAGTTTAATGAGGATGTATTTGAAAAAATATATTAGTTCCCGAAATCAAACTAGATGTCGCTACGGTACGTTCTTGATTTCTCAACCCTTTCGGTTTTTTTCATGTATAAAAGTAAATTAATTTTCAAAACTCAATAAACAACTCATATTTTATTTGTACTTTATCTTATTTGTATAGATATCTAAGTTTCGAACTTTGCAAATTTCAGTTTTTTTATTATGTTAGTTAAAAGGAACGGAAATGACTATCTTTGGTCCATTTATTTCCTGCAAAAACCAACTTTTGCTAGAGTCACCATTTAGTGAGGTGCTTTTTTAGTGCTTTTTTTTTATTTAATACTTCGTCATTAGAACACTATAGTAAGTATATTAGAAGATATAGTGAAGTTAGCACTTCACTAAGCGTGTTCGCCTCATTAAGCGTGTAAATGCATGATCTCGTATCTATTACAGCGTAATAGTGATTGATATATAGGTATGTATATCTGTTTTGATCTATGTTCTTTAGATAATAGGTAAGTACTTTATTATAAAAAAGGTTAGGTTTTAGGTGTTATGAGTTCCAACGAATGTGGCGCGTAGATTAACATTTATAGTGAGTGTCGTTTTAATAATGATAATAAGGTCTAAAATACAACACATTAGTGGTCACGCGGTGGATATTGGTGGACTGGTGGCGTGATGATTGAATCATTTTAATTGGCCGGTATTTTGTCGCGTTTGATTGTATGAAGGGCTTTCATCAGTTTGTGGTTTAAGCAATGTTTATATACATGTAATGTTATCTAATATATGTGTTATTATAATATATTTAATTACCTGAGAGTGCCGCAATATACTGAGGCAGCTTGCGACCCTCCCCCCTCGAGTCAACGAGGACAGTCTGCGAGACACCCACCTCGGCCATTGTGCCGTTGTTGCCGTCTGATCTCTGGAATGGAAATGTATGACATTATTTAAAAATTCAGTTTAACACATGCTATAAGTAAATACTTTTTGGCAGAGCCAGGGCTTTAGAAGTGTCATGGCGACTCGGCGTAGGTGGGTTCTTTGGTGGGTATCCTCCGGGGACAATGAAAAAAGGGCTTCATCTGTTCAGCTTTTTTTTAGTAAATTGTCTTTTTTTTAGCTGCATACATGTAAGATGCACATTTGACTATACTTAGATGTTTAATTGTTTAGCTGCTATCTACACGGGTGAAATAAAAGTTTTCTTCTATGAGATAAATGTTAATTTATGTGGAATTTATAAAGTACAATATTTTTTAATTAACATGATAATTAAACCAAACCATGAAGAAAACCACAATACTTTGTGCACATGTGCTAGGAATAAAATTATATGTAACTTGAATTTGAACAAATCTGCAATAAGATATTTAACATTCATTTATATAATATTATAAGTGATCATACAACACACTTGGTGTACAGTATTTAGTCACCAAGCACATCTAACTGATAAACTTTTAGTAATCTCTAAGTTGTAAGGACATTTATACACTGTCGGAATTATATCCAGGGGTAGTTTGTTAATTATTCAAGGTGCAATGTAATTGACTGTCGGCTGTCCATATATGTGTTAGTCCGTTCAATCATAAATCTGTTGTTAGCAATGGAGTGCTTCTTTTTTTAAAATAAGTTCCTCTCTAAAAATGTATTCTTAGTGAAGGGCACTCTTTACCTGAGAAAAATTTGACAACACTCCACAGTTTCTAAAAAGGCCAGTATCGTGATATCATATTCAGCATTGTTATTCAGTAAAACTAATTTTTAGAATTCTTAATTGCAGTTTGTATATTTTATAAAAATAAAGTTATATATGTATGTCAATAAATACTGACATACTGAATGTAGGATTCCTGCCAATGAATTGTATAGCATTTGTTCAACCTTTGAGGGGGATGTGTTTATTCAATATTGTGATATCGGCCAAACATTGCAGTAATTTAGTACAAACAGCTTCAATATGTTGACTCCAATGAAATATGCTGTCAATTGTAAGACCTAGTTTATATACATGCGACTCAACATTTTTTATTAATGGAGACACAAGAACATAAATTTGTGTTATGTAAACACACATGGTTTTGTGTGACCATATTTTATTATGTGATCTCTTTTTAAGTATGGTGATTTGATATGTTATAGTGTGGTTTTATACAGGTTCAATACCAATTAATTACATTTGAAAAATTAATTTTAAAAAAAAAATCAATTAGTTTTAAATATAATTAGTTATATAAACTTAATTTGAGTTTAAAACAAGAACTAGTATTGATGTCATAGTGATAATGTTACACAACCTCAAGTGCATAGGTGTAAGAATTAAAACAGCATGATAATGAAGATGAATACTTTAACTAATAAGCATATAACACCTTGTTTTCTATTATTACGAATTGATTAAGAAAAATGTATCGTTTTAATACCTAAGACCAGTCTAATATTAGCAATAATAATCTATTTATCATCATCCGAGCCAGCATAATGATAGGTGATTACTATGTATCAGCTAAGGACACTTTTTTTTACAAAATGCTTTGTCAATAAATACCTCATTCTCATAATTCGTATAGACATCATTATTTGCTGGTATCGCAGGTAATAATGGTTCTCTTTCAGCATCATCTCCTGAACGATTTCGATATAAAGAAGATCTCATTGTATATATATATTTTTTGTCAACTAGATTTGTTTAACATAACAGCCACGTCTTATCACAGTAAAATTGAGCTAAAAACTGTTATTTGTTTATCGTGCGAGTAAGATAACAAACGACGCAAATACAGCTGTTTCATTGTTATTCACATGACATTGGTGAAATTGTATTTTGTGCTAGGATAAAATAAACCGTAAGGCTATAGTATTAAAGTTTATTGAAATATTTTTGTTGTAATTTTGACAACATACTTTTTATTAGTTTATCAAGGCAAAGGAATTTGTGTTCATACAGCCCTATCTTCTACAATTTTTTCTATTATCCTCGCAAATTGTTAATGCGTCTAGCCGCCATTCAATTAGTACCGTTAACAAATAAATACTGGTTGACGAGTACACTTATAGAAATGGGGTGTGTTGAGATCACACACAATTTTTGTTATGTCTTTGTTCTTTTTTCATTATTACTTTTGACTATGGTTTAAAAAATTGTCTCTTCCGTTTGTTTCGGCGGTAATACAAAGTAAATCTTATTTTTTCATACTTGTTTATTTTTTATATATCTCAATATTAATATACATATATATATAATAGATGCGGTAATATATATACTGAGGATTATTCATAAATATTTTAATAATTCGCTCCAGAGTTCTGGGCAAAAGGTATCCAAACTTTTCCGGATCGTTTAATACTCATCATCGCAAGAAGTCTTAGATACTAATGGTAATTACATCATCGACTAAACTTTTTTTATTGTAATAATAATAAAAAAGTAAAAACTTAAACCAAGTGTCTCATTACTTTTGTGCCAACCTGATACTTTATATTTTTTATTTGCGATTCTCCATACATTCTATTTATTGTTATATTTAATAGACGCGGTAGTTAAAAACTGAATAATATGAAAAGTCTCACTTAATGAACATGTTATTGGCACCCTATATGAAAGAGACAAATAGCTTCTGTATTTGGTCTCGCTTGGCTCGCTTTTCAAGTGGAAGTGCTCTGTCCTGTTATATGTTTAGAGCTAAATCCATGCATTTCTGCGATGAGGCCAAAACTTTTAATTTTATTAAGTTTAATGATTAATTTCTTGTGATGAGAATATAAGATATATTTTTTTAATATAATAAATTTTACTGGACACATAATTTTACTGAATAGCTTGTCCACCAAAAGGCAAGACTGAAAAATTCCCTTTAAGTTCCAAGATTTGTGCACTAACATATTAACATACAAGGCAAGTTAAATAAAAAAAAAGGAAAAAACAGCTGCGCTAATAAAAAAAACAGGACAAATGCGAGTCGAACCCGCACACAAAGGGTTCCGTACCGTAAACGAGCAAAAAAAAAATCATGTTGAATGGGAGCCCCCTTCAATATTTATTTTATTCTGGTTTTTAGAATTCATTGTGCGGCGACAGAAATACATCATCTGTGAAAATTTTAATTGTCTGATTTTCACGGTTCATGAGATATAGTGACAAACAGACAACGGAACTCTAACAAGCAGACATATGTATTAACGCCTATACTATTATAATAGCGATTTTCCCCATGATATGATTTACTTATTTATAATTCGATTCCATATTCTTGGCTACCCGTCAATATCTTTGCGACATTGTTGTTCTAATTCCAAAATCCGGAGATACTCCTTCGGATTTTTCTTAGTTCGGAGGACGTATGGAGTCCGGTTCGGGTAAGGTTAGAGCTTAAAATTTTTGGAGACTTATTGTAATGAAGTATCTATATTTAGGCGAGTGACATCCACTATATTAATATCATACATGAGCCGTTGTAAACCATCTGTGAGGACCTGTAAATGGCTTCCTATTGTCTATATAATGGATATTCATCTATACGTATCACTGGTTATTAAAAAACAGATATACCTATCCGAGTTTTGATCATAAAATTTGGTTTTTTACGAGCTCGTTTTCCTAGGTAAGGAATAAAATACCTACAATAGATAGATTTACAATGGATGTTTTATTTATTTACAAACTATGGTTTAGTCTAGCTTCATATTTAGGTGAAAACCGTTTTTAAATTAGGACATGTGACAAAGTCAATCGTGTATGCAAGCATGATGTATAAAGCGCACAACAACCGTTCTTGACATTGGCCGTATATTGTGCCCTTGACTCGCTTGACAATTAGCTACCTTAACTACCTAGAAGTAGCTACGTGAGTTACATACAACTTGCTACATCATTACATCATGCATTACTTACTAAGTGATATATTATAACACGAGCAGAGAGATTTGATGTCATAGTGTTCGAGCTGCTATTACATTTTTGGAAAAGTTTGGTCTTTTAATTTTTGACCAAATATTGTTAATTAGGTAGGACCATAATTTTTGCCTAGAATTCCTCAATGCTTCGGGATCAGGGTTGCCACATGGCAAGACTAATATATCTGGGCAATATTTTAATAAAATCGGGATTTCTCGAGGCAAAAATTGATACAATCATCCTTCGCCTCGGAAAAATATTGATGATTAGCAAACAAAGATAATGGAATTATTTCTAGGTTGTTTCAGCCGTTATCGAGTGATTTATTTAATGATTTTATTAATTCAAATAATTTAACGGGACATTTCCTTCTTTTTCGGGACCCTGAACATCCTTCTATGTTCAGAGTACTCAAAGTCGGGACAATCCCGACTAATCCCGACGATCTGGCAAAGCTATTCAGAATGCTCTGTATAACCTATTCGTAGAACGGTACGGTACTCGACTCACTTACTATTTGCATCAATTGAATACTTAGCTGAAAAAAACTCTTAAGTACAAAAAAACTTCATCAGTCAAATTAAGATAATATGAAATTATATTTATGTAATAGTTAAGATGAGAAATAGTTGTAATAGTTCACTTATAAAGAGAGAGTATAAATAAAACGAAGCGAGATAAAAAGCTACTAGGAATTAGAACCTACTATTATAATCGTAGTAATGATTTAGGTTTGTTTGCACCAAAGTTGGGATTTATGCATTATCATCGCAACATTATTTAGAATACAATAGGTATGATTATGTTCACGTTATAACAGGTATTTTGTATGGGAATCACCTAGTTAATAAGATCAAATTATATGATAATTCCCACAGTCTTTGTCGCTTAATCGTATTTTAAATATTCACGTTATATGTTTCCATGATTTTTATAAAAGTTCTATGTCTTTATCACACTTTTTTCTCGTAGTTCAGTTATTATGTCCTTTTAAGAATTTAAAATGGTTTGTGTTTAGAAGACAATAAATAACATCCTAATCGACGAAATTAGTAAATGCTTTGCAAATCTGTAGCATCCAGCCACATACCCTCCACAGGCAATATTGACGTCGAGTTACGGAGACGTCAGTTGAAAAAAGAAGAAGAAGCAGTGTATTTGCACCTTTACGATAAGTATATCATTTTTACATTAAAATTAAGCAAACTGAATAGATATAAAATTTAGTAAAGTTCAATTCTTGATCGATATGTGTAAACGAGGTCTTGAATGAACTTCAGTAGTGGCTGGCTTCAATGAAAGCTTAAGTTACCCGGAAACAGAATAGCCGGGCGCGATAAAGATGCAGCTACCATGCAATATAATATCTTTATTTCACTGGTTCAACTTTAAACTTTACACTACCTACATAGTTCAACGACCGCGTTTTCTTTGCAAAAAGAGTTCATGGACTATACATGCTCAAAATAAATTGTATTTTTATTTATTAATTATTCATAAGTGACGTTATTTCAGAAGTATTCATCGTTAATGCCGCCGTCATCGATTCACCTTTAAGATTCTATGATTATGAAATATAATTTTAAAAGAAAATGGCAGATCATATCAAGGTAAATAAATAGTAAGGTACTCCAAATGATGATAATGCAATCAAATTCGGATATAATATTTATATTAAAGATACAAATTTTCATTTTCTTTTAGAGCATGGATTCCCAAGGTGGTTGAAATCGATTTGGGGTCGATGGGGTCTAAAAATAGACGTTATTAATTAACATAATGTATTAGTTGGGTTGCGTCTACCAAATTTTTAGTGTTATCGTCTATATCTATATATTTTTACGTTACACTTGACCTTTAATATATATATACAAATTTAAATATATATTCAGTTTGCTAAATTTTGATGTAAAATGACGTCAGTTTCAGTGGCGGACTAAGGGGGGAGGGGTGCCCCGGGCCTCTAGTCCTGGGGGGCCTCCAAATGACGGCAAGTTCCCTTGGTCATCTCAAAAATTGGGGTTGTACTGCATTATCTTTGTTATGTCTAGTTTCGTAGTTTTCGGGAGGCGTCGCAGCCACGGGCCTCCGACGGGGTTAGTCCGCCACTGGTAAGTTTACTCGCATGAAAAATATATAAAAACGATATATTCATAAATTGTCGTCGAAGTTTATTGTACTTACTCATACCTAGAATATTTTGTGATTAGATATTCACAAACGCTTAGATTAGATAAGTGCACTGCAAAATGTATGAACACAATACTTGTGTTGATGTATCAACGACATTTCAAGTGTCTATAAAGAAAACGAAACTGACGTTGTGTACTTAAGTTATTTGTTATTTTTCCTTAGAAAACAATCGTACGAATTAACATGACGTCGAAGGTCTGTAATTTCGCCTATTTTTGTAATGTGAATACGACTCCTGCTAATGCCTCTGATGCATAGATAATCTTCACGAAAAAGATACTAAAAAAAATTCCATGTCAAATAGAATAGGCCCTCAGGTGTCATGTAATTAATTATTAAAGTGTAATTCGTACAAGGTATATTTAATTGTGGCTTAATCTGTGCTTAAGGCTAAACTAAGGTTTGATTCTCTAAGATAAAACTTGACAAAAGACTATCCCCATGCTATCTCATTGACACCTTAGAATGAGAAAAACGAGGACGGAGAATGGAGAATCGCGCGTAAAAAGTACTCGTAATCTTACGATTATGGCACTTATGTGTTACATATAGCCTTCAGCTACAAAAGAACTACATCTATAAATATGTGACAAAAATTAATAATAATTTACCGTATAGAGTATCACGAAAAAATCGAAAAATTTGTAAATTTTAGGGGAAATTTTAAAACTTTTTCTATGGTGAAAACGTTATAAATTCAACATTTTGATAAAAGCCTTAGGAATATGATGTCTTGTTATTAATTACAGGTTATTTGGACATGATTTTTTGCTACAAAACAAATTAAAAGTCAAATTAGGTAGAAGCTGATCTATCCTGACTCGGGACTGTTATTTGTGTGTACGTACATACCTAGATAGAATATCGGCAATAAACATCTTTCGATTGTATGATTAAAAATATCAGATTACCACAAGCTGTTTATGTAACAAAAAGTAAGTACTTAAAACAATCAAGTACATAGCTTATCTTTTATGATCAGCAAATCTTTTAGTAGATTATTTTTTATTAACATAATTATTAAACTGCTAAATTACCTAGCTTTATAATCACAAAACGTCATAATATAAGAATGCGGGGATTTTATTAATAATAAATACAATATTAACACAGCTGTTTAAATTAATTTCAATCCTAATACATTATTGTTATTTGTACCTAAGATTCTGAAGATAATAGAGTAACTTGTAAGTAAGACACTAAAGTAGGTACTATACTTTTGATTGAAAAAATTGAATAAAATGTAAAAATAAAACAGTATTTTAAAATGAAAACATCACATTAGATAAGTGTAATAATTAAACAAAATGTTCTCTACAAAAAATATATGTAATATTTTGTCTATTAAAAAAATATATAGGTACTTATATTTCAAATTCTTTTTATTCTCCATTGCCGAGTGACTCGTACGCAAGTTTTAATGTGTCGCCACCAATGAGGTCCCGGGATCAATACTTGGAGGACTGCTTAACTGTCTAGCCATGACTATAGCCTGTGCTATAATTTGCTTATGTAAATTGCCACAGAATATGGCGTGTTATGGCGACATCTCTTTTTGGTATAACAATGAAAATTGAGTTGGTCCTGTAGAGCGATTCTGCTAATGTTAGCGTACCTTATTATGGAAAGTCAATAGCGCTTCAGCTACAACCTTTTATGTCACAGTTCTTGATACTAGATCACAAATAAATACATATAACTGTTACAACCGTTTTGGTCACACGAACTTTATGGCGTTGCATCCTTATTATAAATTTAAAATTATTTTTGTTTTACGTACCATTATTTTGTCGTTACACCTCAATAACAAGAAGGCGCGTGTTGATACTCACATTGAAAGTGAAATTGAGTCTGAACAGTTGTATTAACGGTTACTTTTGCAATTAAATATTATAAATCAAACAAAAATGTGTTTGTAAGAATTTTGCATTATTTCAAATTATACACTTATCCTAAAGCAAACCAAGGACCCCTCAAAAATTTTGCTTCTTAATCCGGCACTGACTCCAGGCCATAAAAATGTTGAAAATGATATATTTGATAATTGTACTTTTTACGAAACTTTACTGCTACTGATAATTTGTCTAATTTTTTTCAATAATATATTATTGTTTGGTGACCCTAGTAGATTCAAAATTTGGTATAAGTTTTCGAGTGGTAAAAAATAATATACTTCATTTATATTGTACTTTAGGAAGTACAATGGGAAATGCATGTAGTTGAAACTCTATTGAGCACGATTTTTACATAAAAATTTGTAGAATGAAAAACCAAGTAGATAGACATTTTCCTTACTACGCCAGTCGGTCGTGGGGAAAAACCGCTTGAATCATAATATTTTCATTTACTTAGGTGCTCACTCGCTGTTATCAATAACAATTCTTCAACCGCGGGTTTAAGTATGTTTTGAAAACAGCTTTCCTATCGAATGCGAATTGACTTTTACATTTATTACTACGACCCGCCAGTAACCTATGAAAACTCGAGTAAATATTTTGTATCTTGTCATACCACGATCCTTAAATACCCGTGAAACTTGGTTTTTGAAATTAAAACCACAAATGGGTCAAATCATTTTCAATTTATTTTACGTCATACATTTATCATTATTAAATGTATTTAACCTTTATTTCAACGTACTATAAAATCTCTGGGTATACCAATTAGATTTAAAAAAATAATTTAAATACAGGATTTAAATTAACCGCTTTAGGTAAGATATAGGATTCGCATAACATCACGCCAAAAACAAAAGACGGGTAAAACCAAGATGTATACTTTAACAAACTGGATCGTTTAACTTGTAATGTTTACATACCTCTCTAGTCTTTGTCTTGTCTTGTGGACCAGCAGAGCGTGGCATACGTGTCCCTAGTACAGCACTATTCATACTCGTGTCAGATGTAAAACCAGAAACAACAGCACCAGCAAGCAGCGGTGCTGGCCCAAAAACAGCCACTCCTAGTGGCGTCAACAAATTCGATCCATATCCCGAACCCAACATATTTCTGTTGTTTATTCTTTAAAAACTATGTCATTGACAATCGCTTATTGTGAAATCGAAATCAACACTCTTGAGAGAAATTTGGTAACATTTCGATAAAAATATATCTTGAAGATAGATAGGCATCTATTGTATCACTCGAGTAGTACATTTTATAAATTTAGACCTTATCATCTGTTGATTTTGACAGATGTCTCTTATAAAGGTTCACAAAATGATAAACTTAATGTATTGAGTAGCCTCAATACCTACTATTTGGTTCAATTTAAAATAAAGATTTATGAGGAGACTAATCTTTTGATGCTTACCTGCGTATTTTTGAAACGATAGGTTTCCATTTTTGATAATGCTAATTTATTTATGATTTAAAAGGCATGTCAACGTTGAAAATATAAACTGCTATACTTATTTATTCAAAAAGAAGTCCTTATGTGAATATTACTGATTCTAGAATGTTTCAGTTGGTTTCGACCAATCATGTATTTTAGTGTGTTAAAAAAACGATTGCTGCATTACTAATAAGTTACCGACACAAGCCTAATAAGCTTCTTCAAGAAATCTATCGTATAGTAAAAACGTAAAGTTTCTCAATCAGAAACAGTGGCTTAACACAAGTTCGTTTAGTTTTCGCTCAGACAGAAATTCGTTTATTTTTATTATTTATTTATACAGGTACAAATAAATTATAAAACGAAGACTAACTTTAGAACCAGTTTAAATCATTAACCGACCAAAATAAGACAACAGCGTAGTGATTCAGCTTTTCAGGAGTGAACTCTCTGTATAATATTTTATCTCGTGTCTTCCTTTATTTACGAGTATGAGTTGAAAGTAATGTATTGAAAAGTAAAGTGTTTTTACCTGACCAAAGATCAGTGAACTTTCACATTTACCTAACTTCGAAAACACTTTGTGCTATATTAAAATGATGGAGTGGGTACGAAAGCAGTAAACTATTTCATTTAACGTGGAGTTAGGGTTGCCAAATGGAATCAGATCATAAAATTTACACATCTCTTATTTGCAAGACAATAAGGAAAACAACAAAGTTATGTCAGATCATCAAATCAAATCATAAAAACTAATGTACCTGTTTGAAAAGTGTTGTAAATGTAAACTAGGCGAAGCAAGCATTAAAAGTCAATCCCCTGTGTCTAGGCCTTGTGGTTAGGTACTTGCATTCTCTCTTTGCCTATTCTGCAAGTGTGAAGATAAAGAGAACACAATAGAAAAATCATAAAATATGTAATAATTTTTCGACACACAATTTCATTAACATCTCATCAAATATTTACTTTGTCAGATTAAGGAAAAGGACTGTAATGAAAAACACCCAGTTCAGAAACTTAACTTGGATTAAATTTTTCCTTAGTTTAAAGCGACAGTAACGGATTCATTTTTTTCAAATTTAGAACATTAATTGCAACTGATCGAGAGTATATTTTTCTATCGTTGCAGACGTGAATTTTTTGGTTAAATTTATGATAAAACTACACTAAATACCTCAAGTCGATAATGAAATAACGAAGAATGGACCGAAACGGGAAAAACAAGAACGCTCTCGTCATTTATTCCACGTAACTTTAGTAACCACAAGATCAACGCATAGGGAATTTTATGAGCATTTTTAAACGTGATTTCAAATTATTCAACCTTTGCGATTGAATAAACTATCTAAATATTATCAGTTTTATACATTTGTTTTCGTGATTCCATAACAATGGCGGTTTAATATTTCAATTCAATTTCAAATATGTATAGTATAAAGTTCCAAACAGTTTTTGTAATTCCCCTGTGTCTGTTAGGCTTTTAATTCCTTCTAAACCATGCAATGGATTTCGACGCGGGTATATTGTCAGATAGGCAATTTGTTAAGTCAGGTTTGTCACTAATACGGAGCCGTGGTTGGCCGTCTGATATTTATTTATTTAACTGGCAACCCTAAATGGAGTGTAATAAAGATAGTGAACACAATACAGTTTTATAACCGATAACAGTCAGTCTATTTTGTTTTCTAGATTGTTCAGTGTTTTTACGAGTAAATAAATTGATATTCGCAGAAACCAGACAACTTTGTAGCAGAGTGATGGTTATTATATACCTACAACCTTTCCGCATTATACATATAAATCTTATTTTGGAATCACTGTGTATATTGATGACAAACGCAATAAAATTCGATGTATAATTTAAAAGATTTAAACGGACAGACAGCGGGAAGCGACGATGTTTTATACTATGTATACCTATATGATGATAGCTTGGGACGTAGGTATTGTTGGTAGGTAGGCGAAGGCGAGTAGATGACTTAGATAAAAGTATTAAAAGAAAGATATCCTGAAAAAATATTTTATGGTAGATTTTTGAAGATCGTTGGAAATGCACTCACTACAAAGAATACCTATAACATGTGCTTGAGAAATTTCGGGAAGCTCAATTAGTTCGAGCAGCAGACAGGATTGTAAAAGGTATTAAGTCCGAGTTCCGTTTCAGGCATCAGAGAGGAGATTTTCTTTTTTAATTCTTCTTTGATAATCTTCAATGCACATGTATGTAAGAAATTGATGTATGCATTTGAAATAGTCTATTTAAGTAGAATATTCTGTGCATGTCATTCCTGTAGATATATTATTTCATTTTTTTTTCTATATCCTTGTTAGAATCCTTTTTTTCAGACTCTGGACATCATCCTAAATGTCGGGACAGTCCGGGCGAATCCCGATCATTTAGCAATCCTAGTGGTACTGTGCAACTGGCGTAACATTAAACTATCGGGTAAAGGGGCGTTTTTCAAAACAAATAAATGCTGAAATCTGTAATATAATTAGCGTCGAACTCGACGTCGAGTGGTAGAGCATAGCGCTGACACAGCATAAATTTTCAATCAACCAAACTTATTTCAAAAGGTAAGAAAGCCTTTATGTATATAATATCTACATTGTAACTCAGCAGTTAAATCAGCGCTTTGAAGTTTTGCTAAAACTTTAAGTTTAAAATTTGAAATGAGCTCCGTAGTGGTACGCACGGCACACAAGAGTCGCCATATCTGGGATGCCGGGCTCGATTCCTGATCGGACCAATGTAAACTTTTCTATATTGTCTCAGGTGTGGGCGTTGCGATGCCTTCGTTGCCTCAGATACTCTATAATAGGTACGGGAGTTTAAGCCAATCATCTTGGAATCTGAGCAATATATGTGATGTTGTCTAATAATTAATAATTGAAACTACTGGAACAAAATGTAGTTCCACTTACACCATTTTTTTATTCATATTTTTGGTACAGATTGCCGCTCTGCTACGTGATGCGCTTGCGTCAGTGCCCGTATCATTTTATCATTTAAATAAATACTAAATGAAATCGATATATTATCATATATAGGTACTATATATATTATCCAATATTTGATATCAGACGCTATGCATCTAATTTATATGATAAGATATGAATTTTACGACACTTTGTAATAACATAATTAGGTTCTGTTAACCTTTTTAAACGAGGTTTAGCGCCTAAGTGAATTTATATAGGTACGTAGTAGGTATTAGTAAAAATTTATATCATTAAACATCCTAAGGAAATCTGGTTTCTAGGAGTAAATATTACTCTCGTATTATTTACCTACCAGCTTCTAGTAGTGGAAAATCACTACTTCGCCCGTGTGTATGGGATCCTCATATTGACTACTTGTCAAGTAGACTGAGTTCTGCAGCTTTTGCTGTTAAGAAAATTAGACTCTTGACAAATGTTGAAACGGCATGATTGGTATATTTTAGTTATTTTCATAGTGTAATGACGTATGGTATATTGTCGTGGGGTTCTGCGGCTAGCATTCAGGATATTTTTATTCTACAAAAAAGAGCAATCCGTGCTATATATAATTTACGGGCTAGGGAATCTCTCAGAGAAATATCTAAAGAAATAAATATTCTGACTGTTGCCTCTCAATACATCTATGAGAATATTATGTACACAAGAAAACATTACGATTCGTTCACAAAAAAAGTAGTGTTCATAATCTTAACACAAGAAATAAAAATAAACTTGCAGTTCCAAGCTTCAGACTTCAAAAAACCAGAGGATCATTTCTGGGTAAATGTATTGCTATGTTCAATAAAGTTCCACAAAATGTAATCGACCTGCCCATTCTTAAATTTCAAATTCATCTAAAGAATATACTTATGAGTAAAGGCTATTATAAAGTTGATAATTATTTTAAGGACCGCAATGCATGGAATTAATAGCCTTCGCTCTGTTCTATAACGATTAATTATAGGTATGTACCAACCTATGTCCTACAGACTTTAAAACTTGTATTTATTATTGTTCAATATATGTATTATTTTGGTAATGACATGATTTATGTAAATGTCATTACTTATGATAAAAAGTTCGTAAGTTTCTTTCGCTTGTTCATCTTGTCAGCTAAAAGACGTCTTGAACAAGTGGTAGGGGAAAAAATATTTTTGGACGATTCAAAAGTGCTTGTAACAAGCTTACTTGGATAAAAACATTTTCATTTCATGTATTATAGCCTACGTCATCCGCGTAGAATGTTACTTCCCGTAGAAGAAAGAATTTAAAAAATACTGAATCGAAAGTACATCCAGCATTTAAAAAAATACATCTGCGGGAAGCTACATTTTGCGTTCTATAATTTACAAATGTATATAATTATAATTTACGATTGTATTAGATGCAAATGAACAATCAAATCTTTCGTCTTTGTCATAGTATAGGCAATACTAAGAGTTCCAGCTGGATAACTAATCGAGATGAACATAGATATAAATAAATTAATAGTGGAATAAAAGTCAAAAGGTGTTTAGAGGAACAACTTTTAAACGGGTTTGACTGCGAACTTTTTATTACATTTTAATATGTTTTGCATCCTTTGCAGGCTCCGTAGTCAACTAAGCAGAATAGGTACGTACCTGATCTTATTATTAGAAATAAGTTAAAATAATAAACAAACTCAGATTTATTATTTTATTTAGGCAG